CAGTGCCAGGACGCACAGTGTGATGAATGTAACAGCACGCAGCTCTTCTGACTTCCCCATGCCAGCACCTTCCTGTTTCACTCAGCAGCAGTGATGCTCGCTGCAGTCAGCAACTGCTAAAAACAGCAACACAAAACACAGCACTAACAGTTACAGAAATCAGCTTTAATTCAGGCATTCATAGAGTTTTACTTAAAAAGCACCTTTAAGGCATTAAGGTGCCTGTCCGTACCTTCAGGCCCCAGTTTACGCCTGTACCTGTTTTTTTTCTTCCTTCTCAAGATCCTCAGCTCTGTCATGGAGGCCAAGCCCTCCACCTGCTTTACCCAAGCCTCTTTCTCCTTCTCACCCCTCCAAATACACTTTTCCAGCTCCTCACAAACCTTCCATACAAGCCTGCTGCAGGCTGGCGTTATGCTGCCATCTCCAAAATGCCTACCTGCAAGTGTCTGCTTCTGAGAGCTTTGTCAGTGTTTCATTAAAATCCTCATTCATTTGCATTCCTAAGTAGACTGTTTGCTTAACGTAATCAGGGACTTACAAAAATCCCTTGATCATTTATGAGCACTCAAGTAACCCAACTCTGGGAAGCCTCGTCCTAAAGACACCTCCCTCAGCTTTCCCCACATCCTTTTGCCCTCCCTTTTCTGTTAGATTTCACCAGAAACTTTTATAACAGCATTTGGATGTCGTTGCACTTCAGTAGGTACCCACCTTGGAGTGCAGAAGTGTAAATAATAAACCTGCAATGAGCATTCCAGAGAGTGATGGAGCACCAGCCTACAGACCAGGAAATTATGGAAAACACATGATTTAACTTTTTAGATGAAAAACACAGCACACATGCCAGTTCAGAGATCTGGCAAGTTATAACCCAGGGAACATGTACAAGATGTATGCCCACCTAGACCAGCAGGCAGCAGCCCTCAGGAAAGCAGGAGAGGCATTGGCCAGGCTTTAGCAATATGTTGCACAAGACTTTATGATCATAGACTCTCTAAACTATAAAAGCTGCAGAATGCACAAGGCAATCAAGAGTAGATTTTGCAGTCCTGTTCCATAATAATTCAGAAAAGTGCTACTGTCATGCACAATTAAATTTTCTGGATCTGCTTAATCTGGGCTTCCATGGGCACATTAAAATATCTTTGTTAACTGCATTCACTGTGCAAGAGGCTGACTGGGGATTGCAGACCCAGTTACAGAGGACAGAAACAAGCCAGTCTGAGCAAACTTGAGCTAGTTGTGAAACTCACATCAACTAGGACAAACAGTTACAAGTTCATTTCTTTAAAAAGAAAAAAAAATTACCTATGTGGCTTTTGTAGGCTATAGAGTAGGTGCTTTGTCAGCAAGGGAAAAGAGATTTGAACACTTGGAGGGATGCTAAAAGGAAGCATCTGCGCTTCTGAACAGCAGCACACTGGGAATATCACTTCTGGCACCTTTTTCATGCTGCCCTGCTTTTTCACTGCTCCCTCTTGACATGGCAGCATCAGTACTATTGGCGTGGCCAACAGGAAGAGAAAAGGACATGGACAATGTCCACGGACAAGGGACAATGAGGGACCGCTTTCAGAAGCTACAGTAGGAGGAAGTGAGGTCGTAGTCTCACCTTGGACAGTAGAAAGAAACAGAAAAACCCTGGAAGGGCAAGGAATCACAGCTATTGCTAATTACTGAAGATGAGGATTGTTCTCTTTGGAGAGAGAAGCCAGGCATGTCCTCAATAAACTGTCTTGTCTGGAAAATGACACAGTTCTAGACAGATCATTTTCAAGTTTATTTAACTCACAAAGGGACTGTGAAAAAACACAGAGCATCAGAACAAATTTAAACCATCTGTTTGATCATCTTGCAAACTGTAAACATTGTCTTTGAGAAAATAATCTTTCTTCAGAATAACAATGTACACAGATTCAACTAAAAAGTGGAAATTGCTTTTTACCCACAAAGTCATTGGGAAATTACCCAATGCATAAACCAATATTTAAATTATTCTGTGTAATTCTTCATCTCTCATCAACTTCTTCTAGGAGTACCCAGGAATGTACACTCCCTGCAGCTCCCTTCCACACCTCCCTGGGCAATTATCCTACCTAGTACCATTCAAATTAATCACCACACTGTTTATCTACTTAAAGCTCCTTTATATACCTTACCTTGCCCTATATATATATATATATATATTTATTTTTTTTTTTTCCCATACAGATTCCATAGCCTCCACATTTATTTTATCATGGAAGTACCAAAGTTTTTAACAAACTCTACTGAGATCGAATTTGAAATCAGATGATTGAGCACTGCTGTCTTGTTCACATACCATGTTTTTGAATTATTTCTTATGATCCATAATGCATAGTTAATAGAGAACACCTGCATAAAAACTGAGGCACCGAACTTGCTAATTATTCTCCCAACTCAAAAGCCCTTATCAGCAATTTCACTGGTTTAAAATCACAGGGGATAAAGCAGTTCATGTTAACGCCCATTAGCCACACTGATAAGCCAGCCTTACACTTGTCAAACAGCCTATTTGTTTCTCTTAATGACAACATTAATTTCCTAGATCAAAGAAAAAAAAAAACAAAAACTACTCAATACACATACAACATCAACAATAATCCAAAGCAACACTTCAGAAACAGTGCCAAATCTAACACATGTTATCAAGCTTGGATTTATAGATACTGACATTCAAAACAGTGGCAGGAACTACTTTCAGAATGTGATCACTTATACCCACACACCCCACATCAAACCACACTAATGAAAAAATATAAATCTTGTACAGCATATAATTTTCCATGTAGTTACAGCGTGGAGTAGCACAGAAGAGCCCAACAGAGGTCTGCAGGTCAGACCATTCCTGCAGGTTTCTTCTTCCCTGAGAGGAGCTGGGACACAGCTGTTCTCACGCTCACAGCCCAATGCCCTACCCAAGGGCCATGAGCTGCTGCTGACCTGAGAAAGGGGCAAAGTGCAGACACACGTCCTCTTACACCTCTCCTTATGTTTGGAGAAGGCTGTGACCTCCTGCCTGTACGTCAGGACAGCAGCCATGAGTGGGAATCTCCAGACTCAGCCACCGTAAGTTGGATCTTTCACCCTAAATCATGGGGAATCCCAGAATGAAGATACAATTAAACTTCGGAGACTACCAGCATATTTTAAGCCATTATTACGGTGTCCTCTCAGCTACTGATTTCAGCATGAAGCTCTCAAGTCTCCCAGAGCTTGGTTTGCACATCTTTACTAATGTAACCAAGAAAAAAATCAAGAAAAGTGAAGTAAACTAAAATGGCATAAGATCTAACCAAACAGGATCACAGACACATTGAGGTATTGTTTACAGCAGCATGGTAGTTGAGTCACCATCCCTGGAATGTGTTCAGGAAACATGGAGTTGTGGCACTGGGGGACATGGATTAGTGGGCATGGTGCAGATGGGCTGATGGCTGGACTAGGTGATCTTAGAGGTCTTTTCTAACCTTCATGATTCTATGAGATTTTGCTGCATTTTTACTATTAGTCACATTCAGTCATCCGTAAAGTAATTTGCACAGACTTCTTTGCGAAGAGCATTTGAAAAATGTGTGTTTACTTAGAAGAAGAAAAATCAGAACTACAAAGGACCACACAACTTGCAATAAAAAGAAGCACAGGGGAGCACAAGGCATAGAACTGCTAAAGAATTTTGGTTTATTAAATAAGTTGATGGCGCCTAGCAAGAGCACAGAGTGAAGGGGAGTGAAATACAGTTTTTGTTGAAGAAACTATTTCTTGCGTTTGGAGAATAAAGTGGTAGCTCACCTACTTCTGTTACAGCTCTGGTCATTGCAGATGCCTCAGTCTCATATGGTGCTCACGATCCTAAGCAAAAGATCTCAGCTGTCTGAAGTGAAAAAAGAACAGCTGACTTAAAAGGAAACAGAGCTGTGAAAAACCATCTCTCTCCATTGCACTTCTTGCATTTAACATTTTCCTTGAGTAAGGCAGAGAATGCAGACCCTGTTGGAGGAGTTAAACTTCTCCCATAGCTAGAGAATTTTCTCAATATACTTTTGATTGACCATTACCTGTTGATTTGGCCAATTTAGAGGGAGAACAAGACTTCTCGAAATGCAGAAGCTAAAACTTTGTCTTCCCATGATAGAAAACAAAGATTATACAGTGCAGTAACCAAAACACTACCAATATCTTTTCTTTTGATGGTATATGATAGATGAGTCATGGCTAAACTTGAGATATCCATACTCCTTGGTCCCCATGCAACAAGACAAGGTCCTCCAAATGTCTCCAACTGCAGCAAACGCCCAACTCCTTAAGGAATTATCTCCCAGGAATAGTGTGTTCATCATGTTTCCTAGAAGGCAGTACGTAATAAAAAAATCACAAAATAACTGAGGCTGGAAACACCCTCTGGTGCTTTAAGTTCTCCCCAAGAACCACGGCCTCAGAATATAAGGCTTCTGCCAGTTGTCTGAGGAAGGCCTCAGCTAGTACTACAAGAGATGGCTTACACTGAGAACAGTTATTTGAGGTTGTAGAACATGCAAGATTGTTCTGTGATGAAGGCTCTGATATGCAGCAGCAACACATATATTCTATGCTATTTGGTAGAGCAAGTTCTCAGCTACAAAATATTATTTTCCAACACAGTCACCACCATTAGCTATGCATTTTGGATGGCAGTGAACAAGAGCTGCACTCAAAAATCTGCATGGCGATCCAGAACATGGCTTGTCTTTCACATCACTGTAACCAATGCTGAAATGCACCACCCACTGCCTCACTGTGGGCACATCCACTGTTTGGTCTCCATTAACTATTCAACAAGTGTTGATGAATGTCAGTGGGTATCATTTTTTCTGCATGGAGGAACTCAATGCCACACCTTCGCTTCACATGTACTTCCATGTTAGACACCATTCTGTCAGACTGCCCCTCTGCTGCCATCTCAGCAACAACACATAATGGAATACTGGTGGGAAGGTTGAACCTCTATTGCAATACCACCAACATCCTCCTCTGCAATCATGGCCCAACATAATGAAATAGGAGGCATTACTTCCTATACGTCCTCATACAAAACAGAATATAAACCCGACTTAGCTACTTACGTAGCCCTTACCTGACCTTCCTTTGGATAATGCTGGTCAGATATTGGAAAACAATTTCACAGCTCTGAAGTATGATTACCCCAGGTACAGCTTGCTTCACCAGAGCTACAGAACTTGCGTGCACATTTTCCAGTGTATGATGCAGTTGGGTAGTAATCTGGTGGATGCTTTTGTTTCACAATTTGACATCTGTGAAACAAGCAGCATGACATCTACAGCTGGTTCACAACCAGTGACCAGATGATGTCTCAAAGAAGAAAGACAGCTTCAGACCCCCAGCTTGTTGGGGGTCTGAAGTAGCAATGATGGGCTATGACATCTCTTAGGAGAAGGCATTATATACATGAGATAAATGTAAAGAAGCTGCTAAGATGACTACAGAAGATTGGGTCATTGAAGTTTCGCATAAAGCTGTGAAGAGAACAGCCCAAGATGAAAGATTTAGTGAGAGGCGGTGTGTGGAACACCATTACTGATTATTGCTATCTGCAGCTGAAGCGTTTACAGGTGCACTATTAGGCAGCTCTTAGAGTTCCTGTTTCTAAACTGCTTGTCTTGACCCATCTTACTTTTCAGTGCTGCATTCAGATGTAAGGTAACATATCATCCATTTGTATCTATAGAGGTTAGAATCCCTTCTGTTCATAATTATTCTACTTCTTTTACAATTGAAATTTGGTCTCTAGTAGCTATCAGCCCCACTTTCCACTACTTGGGCACTAGCCTCAATTCTTTTACGTGTGTTTCAGCATTGCAACCTCTTCCTCCAAACCAAAGAAAGCAACATATCCCCTGTTATTTATTTATTTTTTTTTTTAAGAGAGCAGAACTGTTAAACAAACAAACAAAAAATCCAACACAACAAAAATAAAAAAACCCACTAACTTCCTTTCCCTCATGTAGGATTTTATTTTGAATAAAAGACTCCTACCACTGCTCACCTAATGTGATGGGAAAGTAGCTACTCAGTATCATCTGCTGATTCCCTACCCTTCACTCATCTCTGTGCCAAATTAATAACTCATTTCTAACATCCTATTTTTCATTCGGCACACCTCCACTCACCATTGTTTTTCATTCACCTATGTCACATAGAATATAGCAGCAGATAAACAGAAGGTAAACAGAACAACCATCATTCTCCCAGCTCTTACTTTCTGAAGTAACGTTTAGAGAAGGACAACAGCAACTGCCTTTCCAGGAAAATACAAAGGCGGTTTTCAGTACCTTTCAGTACATGGTAGGCTGAAGGCTCCAGAGAAATGTTGGGGTACATCAGATTCATGTAATATATTATTACATCTGTAGATATGGCTATAAAAAAATAAAACTCACTATTTAAAATTAACACCTTGATTTTTTTTTTTTTATTAAGCATGGATTAAAAACTCTTCTCTTCTTCAAAATATCTTTAGTTTACAAGAATTGTGCTGAATATAAATGCACTACAGGAAGCACAGAAACCTGTAAGCTTGAAATATATGTCAAATATAAAAAAAAAACAACCAAAGCTGCTCCCATCAGAGTACTTCAATTGTCATGACTTTAGGAGAAAGCAGTATGGCATTCTCTCTTTTCGATGTTTTAAAGAAAAGGTTCTTAGTGGAAGAATGTTTCATACTAACACATTCCTTCGTGTTATAACAGAAATTACTACTAATAAGACTGTTACCAAGTTCACCTTTTCAATGTCTTGTAATCTGAGCGATTGTCTCCTATCCAAAGAAAATAAAAATTCAAGAACACTAAGTCTTCCAGAACCTTAACAAAATCTTTAACCTTCAGTTCTCTGGATCTGTTCAGAAATAAGTAACAAAGTTGTGACATGCAAACAGTTTGTTTATTTCCAATAAAATTACTGCTGAGTAAGCAGGAAATGTATTCAATAATACTGCTTTGATTTTCAAAATACCATGTTCCTTTGTATCCATGTATGCGAGGCATCAGAAGCACAGCTAGGCAAATAAATCACTGCATGAGACATCAGCCATCCTCCAAAGAATCTATGTTAAAATTAATTCCAAACTTATCACATGAGTACTGAAATACCCATCTGCAGGACTGGAAACGAGCACGTGAGAGGCCTTCTTTCCTTCATACGTAGATATGATGCTGCTATCTGTAAAGAATACACATTATCATTACAGAAATGAATGTGCTGCTGAAAACCAGACCGTGTCTGTAGTGAGGCACATGAAAAAAATGCAAGTATGAAACTTTTAGTTACTCCATACAGCGCTGTATGATATTTATTTTACGTTTATCCTGCCAATACAAACATAATGGCACTTGGCAAACTCTGTGCAGAGGTCGGATCTTTTAGACAGCAGAATTTCAAGAAGTTCAAAGCAAATTGTTTATTCTTCACCCCAGTATTTCTATTCCCCATTACCAACAACTGGCTCTTAATTATTTTCCACTAGCAACAGAGTTCCAGATGCTGTAACGTACACAACGAGGTGGGTGTCCTAAATATGTTGGCAAAACCTCTCAACACAGGAAGTTATTTATTAGTTATATATTAGAAGTCACTTCTGCCAGTATTCAGAAATTGCATCTAAATTAGTAAGCATCTTCTTGTGAAGGCAACATCCAACAAAGATGCAAAGACTGGAGTGCCAACCCATAAGCACAACAGGAAACAGAAATCCAGTCAGATTCTTCTGCTCCTCCTGCTGGAGGTCTGGACAAAAGATCTTGGTTAGGTAAATTTTGATCATTTTGGTCCCCATAATTGTAAAAGCAAAGAGCCATCAGTCTACAGCGGTATGGCCATCACGCGCTTGTCTTCATCACCTGTTTGTGGACATGCTGGCTTGTAAGCATGAAATACATCCAAATGTTTTTCTTTTAAAAATTCTTTATATAATACATACTGTACCTACCTTGATGAGGTAGAGATGTATCAATCTCTACAAAATACATATATATACTATTAAACAGATAGGTTTCTTTAAAAAAATTCCATATATAAACTCCAACTTTTGTATACCTGGGGTACACGTCTTTAAAGATACAAGTATGCTCCCTTACCATCACATGTCCTGTATATAGAAGTGTTAGAACATTCAAACATATACATGTACTTATTTTTGCACAGGATAAAATAACCCCACAAACACAGGGATTTAAACTTGCGGGATGCAAGGCATACTGTATGCATTCATAAAAGTAGACTTTGATGACGTGACAAAACCTACACATGAGAAATATAATAGCAATACAATTGCACTCACACCTGTATATGAAGTGGGTTTTCTTGAGAACACCAAATGACAAATGCTATGTCAGAATGAAGTATTATTTAATCTTCAAGTCTAAATTTTCGCACGTTAGTCACAAATTGAACATATGCATATTCAGTGGAAGTGTCTTTAATATGAATGCTTTTTTGCAAATTCTGTTTTTGTTCACATAGATTGAAATGTCAAAACAGTAAACATGAAAATATTTGAAAAAGGGTTCAATTTTGCCAGAAAATAAAGTCAATTGGCAGAGTCAAATATAATTCATGTAGGAATCTAGAGTACCCTAGGTGGAAGAGGTGTATTTACACTACAACTTTCAAGCAATTTCATATATTTCCTTCCTATTAGTGGATTAGCTAGTGCTAAATATTAATAATCTGAGTTGGTAAAAAGTAAAAAACCCCATGCTTCTGAAATCATAGCAAATTATTCTTAAACACTAGTATCAAGATTACAGTCAGTTTGCTTTTTACATATGAACTACAGATCACAGAAAGTTTCCTGTTGCACTGCAGCATGAAAAAGAAATGTGACACAAACAAGTGTAATTTGCTGCAAAGTACAGCAAGATACTTCAGCAATCTCATAAACATTTCATACTGGAACTTGTATAGTGAGTTCAACTTGATCTTTTAATGTAATACAGTACATTTTATAAACTTAACATTATCATTGTAGAAGAGCATGCTAACTGAATGTTAGCAATTTATCTTTTATATATAATTATACTCTACTGTAGCTACTGTACGCAGATCTCAAAATGTTAGTACATAAAATATTCATTTTCTTTATGAGATGAGAATGAACTTAAAAGAGGCTTGAATATAAGAATGAAATATTTGCTGTGCCTATTTCTCAAGAAATAATGAATGACACATTATAACCCAAGAAATCAACATTTAAATTGCAAAACTATAGTTAAATTTACATTAAGCATTATGATCAGTAATGTGCATCAATATTTGATGAAGTTTAACCTAACCATGTTTATGCACATAAAGCCTCAAGAGTCTGCAGCAGTTTCAACATCAATTTTTCATATTTTTGTATAAAATGGACTCAAAGATACATCTTCCATAAACGTTTTCAGTGCAATTCTGTCAAAGAGGAAAATATAAAGCTAGCTTTCAATCATCTTATACCATAAAGGGAAAAAAAACCATAACAAAACAACCTGCATTTGCACTGCTGAATCCTAAGTAAGCCAGTTCAGTTGTGCCAACTATTTTGAAGTCAATTCAAACCAAACCTAATTGCCTTTTTAGGCTGCATTTCCCCCATACCAACAGGTGTAAATGTTGAACAGCTGAATATTGGGGTGGGGGGAGAGTAAAATTAAGCACAGGCAGAACGATCTAGTTTAAAAACACCTTTTTCCATCAGTAACAAAAAATACATAATGAAAAAAGTCTAAAGGTTTCTTTACTAGTGACATTCTAAGTTCACAAATCGGTAAATCCATGTTTCAGTATTATTATTCATCCCACAAATGTTTACAGGTCACCTTGCGATTATAATGTATTTCTTGATGGATTACATGAAAATGCTCCATTATTCAATGGGATAAATTTTCTTAAGTTAGAAATTGATTTTTTTCACATGTTGCCAACTGTAGGGAACCAGAGAGAGAACAGCACATGAAATTATAATACGTGCTTGGCAAAGCAAGGTATAATAACCTATACATTTTGGTTTTCAAAGACACAGTTTGTAAACTGTAAAACTGCATACAGGATGTTGACTTAAGAATTTTGTTTCAATTTCTTTTTTTTCTCCCTGGCTTGTACCTAAAAATACAAATACAACTTCTCTACTGTAGCATAAAATAAAAACGGAGCTTCATTCAAATCTTGAATACCTTGACTGCAATCACAAACAGCTTGACTGCAGTCATTCAACAAAAACGTAGCTCTTCATACCAAAAAAATTTGGCTCACAAAAAAAAGAAAAAAGTACAATAAACTCTCAACAGAAGGCTCTCTCATGAGGCAACCTACCATATACTACTGCTAGATACGAGTTTCCAAAAAAAACATTACATCCCATTTTCAGCACATTTTTCATAAACATGCAACTTCACTATAAAATACAAAACACTTGGCTCTCAAGAACAGCTTTATAAAGACACACTGCATCAATAAAATTTTCTTTGTGATTAACTTTACATTGTAATAAGAACTGTATTTTCACTAATGTTTATATATCAGATTTCATATTATAATGTAGTAATAATTTGCTCTTTGTGAACATCATGTTCAGAAGGAAATATCTATACACATTAACATACTAGACTATTAAAAACTCAGTTACAGAATTTTATTGATACAGTAGATTAATAAAAACTGATGGGGAAGATAAAATGGGTAGGGTTTCAGTACATTATTTAATAACACACTTTTAAAATTATAATATTTTAAATCTTTTTTGAATTTTTCAATGCCACTAGAAGTCCAGAAAAGTCTGGCATCAATACTGAGGTGTAAAACAAGTCAAACAACTTTCACAATTTGCATCTCTCGTGTTATTCTATCCAACATTGTTCAACTGTAGAAGAAAGTAATTTAGCACCTCTGATGGTAGGTAGGTGCCTACAGGTAAACACTAGGTCAGATTCACAAAGCAAACAAACATCATTGCATTTCTTCTCAACAAATAGTGGCAAAAGAAAGTAGCACTATTTGTTCAACTGATTTTTTTCACAGTTAAATGTCAACAAGAGTACAAATACGAACACTGACAGATATTGCTTGAGATCATTCTTAAATCAATAGATCCAATAAACAGTGGGGCACTGTCAGTTTAAAGCTGCAGATAAAAGCTATACAAGCACTTTAGAAGTCAGAAACATTAAAAAAACTATTTACAGTTTTCTTCTTTAGTTCATATGTCTACAAAGCCAGCGCACATTACACTTCACAAAAATCCACAGTTAATGATATCAAAGTGTGTGTGGCTAAAGCTTGTGACCTAGGGACTGCAAATGCAGGGGCAGTAAGAGTAAAATAGGTTTTGTCTTTTTTTTTTTTTTTTTAGCAACCCCATTTGTGCACTAACAGCTTTGTTCAGTCTCAAGCTTTATATTAAAAGCATTCTTCAAAGCTTTCACCTGGAAGGCTGACAACTACATGCTCACTCATCGCCTTTCCCTTTTGGAAGTTCTGCGACGCACCTGTTTGGGGAAAAAGTATTTTAAATATTTGTACAGAAATACTAAGTTCTGAAAAAATCAAGAATAAATATAGTCTATAATGGAAATGCATTTAGAAAATGCTTTCTCTCACAGTATTGCGTAAGTAACTGACTACAGTATTGTTCATCACTCCTTTTATCGTAAGTACAAGCCTTGATCAATGACAACATAATTTTATTTATGTTACCAACCCTGAATTCTTCAAATATTAAAAAAAAATAAGCTAGTTACATTACTCACTATTATAATCTAGCTGACAAGAAAAAATATGAATTACCTGGAAATTCCAATGAACCTGTGTGCAGATCAGACAGATAACAAAAGCTATGCAGAACAGTAAACTTATGACTCTTAAGAAAAACTGACATTTTCTGTCTGAGAAATGCAGATTCCCTATGAAATTACATTGCAGTGCTGCTACACAACACTGACATTTGACCACCACTACCTCATTCTTTTTAAAGAAGGAAGGTTAAGTTATGGGAACAGGAGAAGTCAGTCTTTGAACACATCAATACAAAGACAATCCTATGGACTCAAAAAAAACCAAAAAAACATGCAAAACAGAAGGCATTTCTTACATTGATTGTGGAAACTTCCTCTTCTTCCATTACTTCTTCCTGGGGAACATCATCACTGACAGGTGAACTACTCTGAAATACATCCATCTCTTCACTGGATTCATTCTCCTTACTAGCTGCTTGTTTGGAACGTCCCGCACGGCTAAAAATCAGAAGAAAAATAAAAATCAGTTTCATGCTATATGGGTCTGCAGATGCATCAGCTTTGCAAGAGAACTAACGTTCCTTTTGATAAGAACAGCAGCCTTAAGTTTTCAGTCTATGAAATATTTCTACCTTGTGTGCTTTTCTAGTTCATTTGTACAAAGAACAGTAGACATTAATAGGAATCTGAACAACAGCAATTGGAAACCAATTTCTTTCAGAATAAAATGTCAGGAATACAATGGTGAACAATGTCTTTCATCTACGGACAGTACAGTTATTGCTCTTCAGTACCAGACACAGCGCAAGGAAAGCTGAAACAACAGTAAATCAGGAAATGGTTTTAAGTTGAAGGAGGAAAGATTTAGTTTGGATACCAGGGGGAAGTTCTTTATTATGAGAGTGGTGAGGTGATGGAACAGGCTGCCCAGGGAGGTTGTGTCCCTGGAGATATTCAAGGCCAGGTTAGATGGGGCCCTGGGCAGCCTGGACCAGAATTAAATGTGGAGGTTGGCGCCCCTGCCTATGGCCGGGGGGTTGGAGATTCATGATCCTTGAGGTCTCTTCCAACCCGGGCCATCTGTGATCTGTGACTTATACACCACAGAATTTGAATAATTGCATGTATATTATTTTACAGACCTAGAAGAACCCACATACTGCTATTTATGAAGTTAACACTGTAGTAGACCTAAAGCTTCCAAACTAGCTCATACTAAGAGCTAGTGATAATCAGCAATAATAATACCCTTATCAGGATAATCAAGAACAATCAACAGTATCTTATATTTTGTTTGTTTGTTATTAGAGCTGAATCAAAAGCCAAAAAAAAACCAACTAACACCCAAAAAACCCTAACCATAAGCTGAAAATGAGAATCAGGCCCCCTTGTGCTCTCCCTGCCTACAAACAAGAAAATGAAAACTGGATATGCATCTAAAACTAAAGGCTGCACTCACGTTACCATTTTCGTTTGTGTAGTTCGCGTAGTTTGAAATTAAATGACTGATTCATGCCTTTTGCTACTCTTTGTTTTGGTCTGTGAAGTTGTCTTGATGCACCCGAGCTAGATGACTTCTTGGATGAAATTAAACTAGAAACTCCATTCCAGACAGACAATACACTTCAGTCCTCATTGGGGGTGATACAGGTTCAAAACAACTGTCCTCCAACAGCTTCAAACCATATATGAAGGGAATTTTCAGTCACAAGAACCATAGCTCAGAATAAAACAACCAAATTACACATAATTAAAGTACAGTGGGAGTTTCAGAACCAACCAAACAACATGGCAACCTCTGACAAATCAATAGCTTAATTGAGGCCTTCTAAGACTGACAGAAGCAACACAGTCAAAAAGGAAGCAGGAGAATTATTCACAGGCTACCTTCATCTTCTCACATATGGGTGAAGAGGCAGGAAAACAATACTGGAAAATTTTGCACTGTGAGTACAAAATGCCAGAACATGAAATAAGGTGCGAAATTGGAATTTCATGGAGGATACAAACTTGCTCAGGCAAGGATTTCAGGTGTAGAAAAAAAGAGACTGATGAGGACAGGCAAATCTGGAACCTGCTACAGGAGGATCAACAGAAGCCCAGAATCTAGAAAAACAATACTGGCAACAAAATAATAAAAAAAAGGCCAGAATGATGATGTGTTTAAGTAGCACCCTAAGGAATTTACTACCAGATTCTGGAAAAGTGTGTTTCAAATTTGTTCCATGTTCCAGTTATTATTTTCCTGTCCACTTGTACACCTCTGCTTTACATATACTGCATGTACATTTAAAGAAAAGGCAGAGATACCAGTAGTTTTTACAGCAAGCATAAGAAAATGAAACTAGTCACAGTTTATTTTGTAGCTCAACACACCTTAGAATTTTCAAGAACTGTTCTCTGTAGACCATAAAACATTTTATTATACGTTACCTTAAAATAAGGAGGTCACAAATTAGAAAGTCAATGAAAATTAATTTAAGAAGAATCAGAATATATTTACTCTTCACCATATCATTTCACAGGAGTAACAATTTGATTCTCCCTCCCTGTCTAAAACAAACAGTTATGCTTTTTATTCCTTGCAGTCTTTATAAAGCCCTATCCTCAAGGTCCTCATGTGTTGTACTGACCTTTCTCCTAGAAGAGCAATGCTATATATACGCTACCTGAGCACATTAAATTTACTCATGGCCTATTTGCTCTAGTTTGAGATGCTCTAGGAGAAGTAGCTGGGGAAAACCTTTTAGAAATAGTAACAGCAATTCATTTTCATAACTGAAAGTTAAAGTACTCCGAAATATTTTCAGCAAATGATTGCTTGGGGGCACAGAGGAATATTTTAAATTTTACTAAACACAAATTCAGAAAATATTCACCACTTACACTTTTTTTTGCTGTGATGGTGGTGTTTTTGATGACCTTCCTCGTCTGTTCTGTGGCGTAGACTGTGCTGATTCAACTGTACTAGATTCAGATGGTTCTGCTCTGTTTTGAGGAAGACCCAAATTGCAAAGTATCAAATTATAACTGATGTCAAACAATAAAAAAAAAGATGCACTTACGAGAAGACAGACTTACCTCTGCTGTGCTCTTTTTGTCGACCTGTTTTGCCTGCCTTTTGGCTTTTGTTCAATGTTTTCAGTTTGCCTTTCTTCTTCCTCTTCCTCCTCCTCTACTGCTGCTGCTGACGTTTGTTTTTTTTTGCTCCTTTTTGATGACTTTGCTACTGGTTCTTCCTTTGGTGTTCCCCCATTATTTGGTTTGGGAGGGCGTCCTCTTCTCCCTTTCTTTGGCGGACTGTTCTGTTCATCCTCACTTTCTATTACATCTTCTTTTAGCCTTTTTTCCTCTTGCCATTGTGTTTCATCAGACTCTGAAACAACTGCAGGTCTCTTCCGTCCCCGCTGACTGCCTCTTAGCTTCTGCTCTTGTCCCAGTTTATTTAGGTCATCTATGCTTAGCTTCTCTTCTGAGTCTGTGATAGCTGGTTTCTTTCTTCCTCTAGGCTTCTCAAGCTCTGACTGAAAAGGTAAGATTAAATCTCAAATTAAAAAACTGAATTACTGCATTAAACTGGTACATGCACAGAAGCTGAAGAACTCTAATCCAACAAGACAAAGAGTCTCGAAGTTACATGAAATTCTACCAAGCATTTCTACAATGTCCATTTCTAAACCTTTGCACGAGTATAAAATAAATATATACACACACAATAATTGCCACAAAGAAAGATTATTTTAAAACATAAGCAATTAAATCACAGAAGTGTATAATGTCTTTCTCATTTGTTTCCTCAGTGGCAAACACAATTGGTTTGAATGTACATGACTGCAGTTTTGTCAATAGGAAAATATAAAGATAGGATGGATTTGAGGCTTGAACTCTGCTGTGAGTTGCAGGGTGCTTACGCCTGGTTTCCATGCTGGCAATGGCAGGGCACTAGATACAGGAGATGGTAAGCAACTTGGATTCATATTCAGAGAAGAAAGCACGGGAATTAGCAGTAGCTGCCAAAGAACTGCAACCACAACTGTACTGAGACTCAATATTTGCTCTGCTCAGCAAGACAAAATATTAAAAGAAAGGTAGGACCCATTCTGAATCATAAGCTTTCAAAACAAAAACTATTCCTTGACCCCTGCAGCTCTACCTCTACAAAGTTCATGGCTCTTCTGTGTAGAAACACTTCAACATGCAGCTAACAGGTTCAGAAGATTGGCCTCATCAACCCCCACCCCTGAATAAATGTGGGTAGATTTATACCTCTTCTTTTCATGAAAACCATGACCATTTCTTTTTAACCACAAAATGGTACAGATGTCCAAACATTTACTATATTTCACAGTTTCAAACCAATGTTTACGTCAAACTAAAATTATTGTATTTTAGCCTAAGTAAACACTCACTTATTAGCATTTGGTCCATTGGAGCTTAATCTATATTGATGATTATGCCACTTAAAACCAAACTATGTTATTTCCCCTCATATCACCCTTGTGCAGTAAAATAGAAGAGAGCACTCAAACACATCTCTGTCCACCTTAGCCATACCCTGGTCAAGAACAATAGAAAGAAAAGTCACAAGAGAAATGAACAAAAGTAGTAACAAAAATTGAAGGACAAGGAATTACACTAGAAGAAAATAAATGTTTGAACAATGACGACATGTTAAGCCAGTTCATGATTTTAGTGATAAAACTTGATCTTATTATTGGCTGTTCTACTTGCTTTTGCAGTAATTGTGGACATCTGTCAGACTGCAGGATGCTTTCACCAGGTAAGTACAATTTTAGCTGAGTCTCAGAGTAAAGTTCCTCCCTCAGGTGTGAAAGTGTCCCACAGCCTTAGAACCCGTATACTGTTCTAAGTTGTAATCTGGACTAGTATCCTGAATAGAGACATCTTTAAAACCTGAACTTTCTGGTCCCCATTTAAAATTCTGCTTTGTGTTACAGTCTGCTCCCTAGAATCATAGAATTGTCAGGTTGGAAACAATGTGCAAGATCATCTCATCCAACCATCCTCCCATCACCATTGCTACCACAAGCACTAAACCATATCTCGTAGCTCCTCATCCAGATGCCTCTTGAACACTGCCAGGGTCGGCGACTCCACCACCTCCCTGGGCAGCCATTCCAGTGCCTGACCACTTCTGAGAGAAAAAGTTCTTCCTCATGTCCAACCTAAACCTCCTCTGGTACAAAACTTGCGGCCGTTTCCTCGGGTCCTGTTTGTTGCCTGGGAGAAGAGGCCAAAGGCCAAACCCCCTCCTCATCACAACCTCCCTTCAGGAGATTGCAGAGTGCAATGAAGTCTCCTCTGAGCCTCCTCTTCTCCAGACTAAACAATCCCAGCTCCCTCAGCCGCTCCTCATAAGACTTGTGCTCCAGATCCCTCACCAGTTTTGTTGCCCTTTTCTGGACCTCAATGTCTTTTTTGTAGTGAGGGGCCCAAAACTGAACACAGTACTCGAGGTGCAGCCTAGCTCCAAAGAAACAAAAATGAATTCTGAATCTATTACCTTAAGCAGTTTTATTACGTATTCAAAATTAGATATAAATGCCCTTAGGAGTACTTGAAATATTGAACTATATTGATTTTTCTCAGTTATCAATTCAACCCACAGCCACTCAACTACCGCATGTCAGACCCTTCAGATTTACAGCTGATGCAACATATCAAACCAAGCTGTTTAAGAAGTTGTTTATCCAAGGTTGAAGTTTTTTCTTCAACTATTATCTTGCTTTCCCTTACCTGAATTAAGCTGTTAAAATGGTCTTGTAATTAAAATAAATGAAGTTCTATGTAAGCATTAATGTATTAATTCACGTTATGCCACTTAGATTTCTGAGCATAGAGAATGTATGTGTATATATGGCAATACTGATCTGAAAAATTTAAAGCTGAAAGTCAAATGTAAGAAATAAAATTGCAAGGTTATATTATGAAATGTTATGCTTAAAGAGTTGTGTTTTTTTTTTGTTTTTGTTTTTGTTTTGTTTTGTTTTTATGTTTTGTTATGCTGTCTGTTTGTTTCACCTACAAAATACTACAGCATAGGATGGTTATCTGCACTTCGAGACAAGTAAAAGTTCAAGATAGAAAGCTACTGACAAGTAAAACTATGCTCCATGCAACTCAAATGTGACAAACTGACCTAACAGGAGAACAGAGGGTCCAAAAAACCAAAGTAGCAGTGACATCAGATATAGCATATCCTTAATACATTCTAGACCATCAAGTTTTAATAGATTTGATCTCATTCATAATGTGTCATGCATAACTTAAATTACTACAATTATGACAGCCAAAAGTTATTAAGAAACAAAAAAATAGTTTACTAATGATATATGAGTTTCTTTTTATTCAAACTATTGATAGAACTATAACTTTCTTCATTCTTTCCTGCATTCTGATATAATGTGTAAATGTTGCTTGAGACTGAATATCCAGCCTGTTAATACTTGCAGTAAACATATTAAAATCCTAAATCTTAGTGGGAGTCCAAATCAGTTCCTCTGCTCTCATTAGGAGTCTTGAGAATTGCTGATTCACAGAAATACGCAAGTCCATCAGTAAGAATTGGTAAGGAGAAGGCCTACTGCCCTCAAAGGTATTGATTAATGGTCATTCACTAAAATCTCTTTCGAAGAGACATATGTGTAATGTCTTCTGAATTATGTTGACACTGTAAATCAGCATAGCAATGACACCATTCTGCTATCCACTGAAGTTTAATGTTCTCTTGGAACAGTTTGGCAGTGTGCTTGTTGAGAATTAAGACTATTTTAAATCTTGTGAGACTCTATTGATATATAACTATCAGTTAGCTAGCTGACTCTGCCCTAAAGTCTAAGGCAGATCACAGAATGCACAGACATTTAAAATCATGCTACAGCTTCTTCTTGTGATACCTATCATTCAGAACCATCCATTTTCCTGATTTTTTTCTGCCTTCACTGCTGTACAAATTACATGCAAGAAAACAGAATCCATACGGCTATTCAGATAACTCTTACTTGAATTTCTAAATCCAGTGTCAAATCAGGATGCCCTCTTCCTATTCAAGATAATGTGAGACTAGACTGTTGCTATTTCCTATAGCTTTTGAAAAACAACATAGTTGTCTGGAAAAGAACGTCTTCACATCAATAATGGCACAACACCAAAAAAGGTAAGAATTATAATACTTCATTATAATACATCAGCACCATAATTGATGTGTTACCATTTTGCTAGCTACATGCAAGTAAACCATTTACAAAAATAATTTTTACAACCTCAAAAGGCAATCTGACATCTCAGACAGGTTAATGTGCTCCCCCAGAATTCCTGTGTAGTTGAACATTCTGAAGTTAGTCCAATTAATTCTTACAAAGTCATATTTTCACTAACCATCAGATACATACAAAAAAACTACAGTATACTGGGAAACAGAAGCCCAAGCAAGATATCAACTTGACCAATGTTTCAAGTACTTCATCAAGGAATTCCAAACATCAGACTAATCGTGGATTAATTGTCAACAACCTAGCTCTAGCACAATCTACTCCTTTCAAAATCCTGCAAATCATAACAGGCAACCTTGAAAGCTTGCTCAGGTTGTCAGTATGACTCAAAGGTAATGTAATCAGCCAAACTGAACATTTTTTTCATTGCATTTTTCACCTCTAAGCACATCCCAGCAATTGAAAACATTACCTCAGTTTCATGTTAGAAAAATATTAAGTATCAGCATATTCATTGTTATTTTAATATCTTGGTGACTGAAAATGAAATGTCTGTAATGCAACCACAAGGCTCACCCTTACAAGATCAGAGTCGTCCCTTTTGTCAGTTTTCTTCCCTGGTAATGGTGAACTCAGTGTGAAGTCTTCATTTTCACTGTGGTCCATTTCAGTACTATCAAGCCTAGAATCAATAAACATTTGTTCTCCTTATTATTATAATATATGCAGGTAATCATTTAATATATATTTATATTAAGAATAACCTACAGAAGAAATCTATTCCTAAACCACGAACAATCTGGCAGAAAGAACCTTTCACTCAGATTATTACAGCTATCATAGCATACCACAAACAAGAACATCTAAGGGCAAGGGGTCAATCACAAGCTAATATGATCATCTCAGTTTAATAAAAAACCACAACTGATCTTTTTGAAACAGAAAAGCCTTACTGAGATACAAGAGATCTGTGTATGTTTACATTTGCATACCCTTTACATACCAAAGATCCCCACAGACCAACTAAAGCTCTTTCCTATGGTAAGGTTTGTACGGTAGAACAGCAGATTTAAATTTCAGAGTCAGAATAGCTTTCTTTAGTTATTTATGGCAGCATATATGTAAAAGCAGTTCCACTTTTATTTCAGTTTCTAGATATGTATAAGCGGGCAATGATTTGTAAAACACTGAGACCCACAAGTAGAAGGTAATACCCAAAAGCCAAACTGCAAGAATAATTCCTCTTTATCTGCACTGGAGCTGGAAAAAGCAATTTTAATTTTATTTTATTAAATAACAGTGCAGAGTTTAAACAGTAAATAAATATTCTATGCATTAAAAAAACAAGTAGCATTTAGATACACCAACTCCCTGTACTGGGCACTGCCTACAGTGAGAAAGACATTCTTCTATAAGGAGAAAATCTGCACTAAGTTCTGACAGTTTTTATACATCACCTTAACGGACACAAGCTTGTGTGAATATATTCAGTCATAGTGAATGGGAAATACCATGCATAATGAATCATTACCATTGCTTCTAGTGGACTTTCCTTCTTTGGTATCACCACTCGAAATGCTAATTGATTTTACTTAAGTGAGCTGGGGAGACCACGAAAACGACAGAATAGGCTGCACTGAGACTTTTTAAAATAGACTAGATGTAGTCTCAGATTCACTTCACTGGATATGAAGATGGATTCTAATCTGCCTTTAATCAATAATATATTTCTGCATATGAACTTGTATGACTTCTTACAAGTTTGTGTAATTGCTATGGAGTGGTGAAGTATTTGTTGTGTAGCACTGCCCTACTTTTCAAATTAATAGTATATATTAAATATTCACAGAAGAATCAACTGAGAAGTCTTAGTTCAAAACATAACTTTCTCTCAGTCTTGAATGAATGTGAGAAGATTAATAGTGGGGACCGTGTAACCTCTGGATTTCTCTGTGAAACAAATTAACAATGTGACCTTCAGTTAAATAAAAGATACCAAGACAGTAACCTAGAAAATCAAAATAAAACAATGTATAAATTTTACGGACAGCTAGCTAACGAGACAACAAATTCTCTAATATTTCAGTATGTCCTTCCCATTATCACAGAATTTAAACCCTAGAAACATTTATCTGCTAAGTCCAGCACAAATTCATAGAAGAGAAAGTTAAACTACATCACCATATTGGCCTACCACTTCTCTCTTTCTATGACATGTAAACACATTACAGCAGCTTACAAATTTCCTAGGATCTGCAGATCTACATATAAATGTATGAAAACCTCCTTCCCTTCTTCCACAAACTTGTAGATGTGATTTTATTCTCTTTTAAGTGATTGTTCTTGAATACCTTTTTTCTTTATTTCTCTCCTCCCCCCCTCCCTTTTTTTTTTTTTTTTTAAGAGAAAATTTTTTCTGTTGTTGAAAAGCTCAATTTGTGGTTCCCATTATACAGTGTGCCATTATAACTTCACTTCAAAATGATATAATTCTGTTTCTCACTTAAAAAGCATTATAGAAATATTCAAAGTTTCCATTACAAAATACTTGAAGTATCAAAGCTCCTTTGTTGTCTACCAACCTCCCTTTGATCCTTCCTGGAGAGCTTGGATTTGAACTGCTGCTGGCATTGCTTACAGTTTCCATTCGAGAAGATTTGGATTGAGACTGCTTGCCTGCTGACGAAAGAGGCTTGTTAACCGCTCCAAGAACATTGGCTGCTTTGGGCTGAAACCAAAAATATATTTCCTTTATTTTAAGCTAAGCATTTAGATAATATTAACATGTACTTAAAATATTCACACATTTCACTTCCTGCAATCAGAATTTTGATTACAACACAAAACAATAAACATTAAAATACTGAAGTTATGATATAAGAAGGAAGCTGATAGACTTGCAATCAAATAGCCAGCTGCCACCAAAACCAGTATTATTTTCTCAACACTTATAACTGTCCTCTTCTCACTGGTAGTTCTGGGCGGTCACCTGACCTTGCAGTAAGTCACTTCAGCACTTCTTTTAAAGTTTGCTTCCTGCTAATGTAACTGCCGGAAGCAGCTCACCATTTGGATTAGATAAGCATCTCAACTGGCAAAACAGAAGCAGCAGTAGGACAGCACTTTCAGCAAATAAGCCATTAAAGTGGCTTAGCTGTAATGGCAAACCACGCTAGCTTCAACTGGGAACAAATGAGGGTCTTAAAAGCAAATATTCCAGAGAAGACTCCAATGATTCATACACAGATTTGGAAATTGTTAGGCTTTTAATAGGAGCCAAAATTTCCAGACAATGGTGAACTTCAGGTTACGTAAGTGGATTACCTTTCAGATATGCCAAATAACTCTAGCTCATAATTACTTTTGAGAAAGTTGAAAGTGTTCAGTCAGTCCTAAAGAGAATAGACCTTTATGCCAAGCACCTGCCTACAAAAATGGTGAACAATTAAAGACCATTCCCCAGATTTCACAACATCTAGAATGATCCGTTCTATACTTCAATATTAGATTCTAACTGATGACAGCATAAAGAAAAGGCTTAACGTGCACATCATAGCAGCCTTGAGCATTTATTTTTCAGAGATTTATAAGTGAATACAGAAGAAGCTCAAAAGCACAGAGAAGTTGGAAGTCAAAGTGGATTAACTCCTAAGGAGGGACTTACAACAAAGAGAACCTACACTAACAGTTCCACCCTCATCATTGAGCCTACAATGAAGAGACAGCTGCCCTCAAATTCTGTTTCCTGCTTAGATCCACCGAACTAAAATCCACATAATGTAATATTCCATCCCAGAAAGGCAACAGAATCATGGAATCACAAGGTTAGAAAGGACCTACAAGATCATCTAGTCCAACCGTCCTCCCATTACCATTGCTACCACAAGGCACCAAACCCAATCTCATAGCTCCTCGCTACAGCTATATTCTAGACTAATTTCATACCATGTTGTTTTCATAACGAAAAAGCAATTGAATATTTTCAGTGCTCAAAAATTTGGTGGCTGGTTTTTTTTTTGCAAAGTTCCAGAACTATTAAAAAAAAAAGCAGTTAGAATACCTGTCTCTAGAAAGTTAAATATAAAACCTCACTTGAAAAAGAATTTCAAATTAGGCTACTTGTAAAACATAGAGCTACTGGACAATCCAAAAAGGGTCACCAAGATGATGAAAATTCAAGAGCGTTTCTTAATTGAGACAAGACTGAGAGACCAGGGGCTTTGGGACTAGATGACCTTTAGAGGTCCCCTCCAACCTCAACCGTTCTGATTTTTCATGATAGCAAAACCATGTTACTTGTATTTTAGTGTTGTTGCAGCAAACTTATCAGCGAGCTTGGGACAGAAATTAAGAATTCTCTGTCAAGCATGGGATGAGAGAACTTAAAACTGACTATTTGAAATCTAAGGACAAAACTTCCTTTTTAGAACTCCTGTATCTCCAGTAAAAATTGATTTCTAACTCACTGAGTTCAAATATTCTCACACTCAATATAGTGGTTATATATTTGGGTCAGTAAACATTGGCTTTCATCTTTGAAAATAAATACTATAATATATACATATATTTTCCAAACTTGCATTCTACCTCTACTGGAAAGTAGCTGGCTTACAGTTAATGCTTCATTTGTAAAGTTAAGGCTAATGAAGATGCTGCACTTTTACTTCTTTAGCAAAGTAGCAGATAAATGTTTTCCTGTAATCAGGAACAAGATGCATTAATCTAGATGAAAACCATAGTATGTCCTTTCCTTCACTAAATATTAAATTATTAACTCGTGGGTTTTTTGTTTGTTTGTTTTTTTGGTTATTTATTTAAAGTAAAGTAGACAAATCAATTTTCTTAAAAATAAACAAACACACACCTTTCCAGGAGTGAAAAATGACTTCATTTCTGGAGGAAGATAATTTTTGGTGTTACTAAAATTCTATAAAGAAGGAATAAAAAAAATAAATAATCAATGAACAAGATATAAACATTTTGGAAGTAGTACTAGAAGAGATTTTCATTACATCATTTATACTTTTGAAATTTTAAACCTGAACTATAACATCTCCTAAAAAAAATTACAAAGGCAGAAAAATGTGTGTAAACAAATACTTACAAAAACATAAACACATATCTTCAACTAATTATAATACAGAGAATTCTACAAGATCTACAGAACTCTTGCATTACAACTACTGAAGATTTAAATAGACTTATCTCAAGAAAAATTAAACTCCAAGGTCTACCTTGTCAGGTTGAGTAAAATATCGTGCTGGAAGTACAGGATCTTTAGGGGATTCCAAACTGTATGTTGTACTCTTTGACATAATGATATTCATTGCTACATCACAGACTGTGTAGAGTTTCTGTAAGTAATAAACAATAAAAAGTAAAAATGAAAAATCAGAAGGTCATTTCAAAGCCTGATGAAAATATTCTCTTGAGCAGAGGATTATAAAAGGTCTGAGTTGAAAAGAATATTTAACAGCAGCATCCATATTAAACAGTGTATCACCAAGTTCTAAAACACAGAAGTAGAAAAGCACTGTACACCCAGCAGATAAAGAAAGCTGGCTTTCATGATCTTTCTACATTTTAAGATTAACATATGTCATTGTTTCGAAGACAAAGTTAAACCCAATGCATTTGGGAAAAGTAAAAAAAGTGACATATTTATGTACGTAGGTTACTCCAAAAGTAATGCCTCCTATTTATTTCCATGGAGACTACAACAAATACAAATAGCGCAGTAACACTTTGTCAGAACAAATTCTCAGGTTCAAAATGCTGCTTTTTAAAGCCAGCAACTTCCATTGGCTACGTATTTTGGCCAGCAATGAACAAGAGCCTCCACGTCATGCTCACAAAAATCTGCACGGCCATCCAGAATGTGACTTGTCTTTCACGATGCCATCACCACTGCTGAAACAACACCCACCGCCTCACTGTGCTCACATCCACTGTCTGGTCTCCATAAACGTTTAGCAAGTGTCAATGAATGTCAGTGGGTGCCAATTTTTCTGCATGGAGGAATTCAGTGACACACCTTTGCTTCATACGTACTTCCACATTGGATGCTTTTTGGGCAAGACTGCGCCTCTGCTGCCGTCCGTCACATGGCAACAACATTTAATGGCATATTGGTGAGAAGGTTCAACCTCTATTGCCATACCACCAACATCCACCTCTGCCATCATGGGCCAGCATCATAAAATAGGAGGCATTACTTTTAGTGCAGTCCTCATATTATGTGATGCAAAAACCTCAACAGCAAGATGAGAGTTTGATCTATTCACTACATAATACAAACTAGATAATACAGAAATCTCATGTATGTATTTTTCTTACCCTTTCACATTATGGGATGATTTAAAAGAGTAAAACTTCTAGCTTACATACATCTAAAGATAGCATTCAATGATGTTGCTGAGATTGAAACAGAATGATGTCAAACCATTACATCCTACTGAAACAAGACATCTGTCACCATGTCTGACATCTAAACTGCAATAACGTAATCACTACGTAAAACAACACATGTCCTCTATAGCAAAAGACATCTTCAAGTTGGTGTGTAAACAAAAGTAACCAATTTCCAGAGCAATGTCAAAATCAAACACATTTACCAATCAAATAGTGTCACCTACTTCATTCATTTTTGCATCATCCGGTCCTTGAGCATCTTTAGTCTGCTTAATATTTTCTACCATTTTTCTGATAAATGCATGACTGTTGTTCTCATTTTTAGCCATCAATATTTCCAGTATGAACCACAAACACCTAAGGAGAAAGGCAGTACTCCTCATGAACAAAGACATGAATAAAAATACTACTGACAAAAAAGTCACACTTAGAAAGTGGTTTACTGAAGTTTTATTAGTATTACAAATCTCCAGGAAACCAATTCATTAGAAAGAAGAAATGAAGGTCAGGATGAGCAGAAGGTGCAGGTATTTCTGTAGGGTGCCAAAGAGCACTAAACAAGCATATACACCATTTTCCCACAGTGTTTCACAGTAATAATTGCCACTGACATGTACTGGGCAATGTATCAGTGTAACTCATTCAATTAAAATTTTACTTAGAATAAAATTAAATTACTATAATTCTCAAAAATAACAGCATTAAAGACAGTCCTACTCTTTAATGTCCTTTAGTTGTTCGATGTCCTGGACTTTGACATAATCTGGGTCATGAGCTAGAAGATGTATTGTATAAGGAACAACATACTCTGGTAGAAGCGACAACAGTTTCTCTGAAAAGCAAAAGAAAGATGCATTAAAATACTGCATCTCAAGAAATATATTTTCCTAGAATATTTTTTACTGCAAAGGAAAGAGCAAAAAGAGTCAGCATACACTAATATAAAGCATAAGTACAGGCATATGTATCTCTCGTTTCCTTATGAGGTTTTTGTTAATATCCATCTAATTGTAGATGCATAGATGTTTCATACATACAAAAATTGAGATTTTAACCATGTTCCAGATATTTCCTAGATATCTTGAAAATCAGCTGCAGTTCCCTCTATACTCAAGTCCTTTCCTTGGTTCAAAACCATTATTCTGAAAGACTCAGAAAAGCAGATGATGATCAATCACAAAATCCACATTAACTGCAACATCTGAGACCAGCACAATTGCAGAGTAAGCTATTACTTTTTATATACTGCAGTAAAGTAGTCAAGAGAATAGGAAAAAAAGCATTCTTTTTCCAAAAAAAAAAAAAAAAAAAGAGAGATAGAGAGAGAGGGGAGGGGGGGAGGGAGAAAATTAGAGTTTGCTGTCTAATTGCCACAGAAGTCTACATCACAACAGTCAGATGGACCAACTTTCCTCAGGAGGCAAAAGAATAAGGACTACTACCAAAGACCCTCTGACAGTCACAATCACAAAGTACACCTTCCATAATTTCCTGAGCCAACCACGTAGAAGGAGTTTCAGCATTTCATAAATATAATAAATAGAATGAAAAAGGGTAATGATGGCAGAAAGACATACAGAAAAACACTGCCTTCTCCAACCTAATATGACTGAACAGCTGAAGGATATACAGCACATTTAAGTTATTAAAGCTATGTCCCGTGCCATCAGGCAGGACAATAGGCAAGGCATGCTAGCATTATGTGTATTACTACAGTAAAAACATCTCAATGCTTGCGGCCCACGCAAATACATAGTATAAACATGTCTATGAATAAATGTTTGAATGAACATATAAAGGGAGGAAATTTCTGGCTCCACTTTTGGAAATATCTAATCACATTTTTTAGCAAGTAGAAGGTCATGAAAGACATGACCATATCTGGAAAATCTTTCTTCAGGAAGCTTTAACTATCCCAAATTAAGGATGTAGACTAAATAAATAATTGCTATGCAGTAGTTAAATCTTACTCTATGCAGATCATTACAAATTGGACAGATTAAAGATGCTGCTGCACAGGCTTCATTAAATATTTGGATTCAGTCACAACAAGGAAAGCATTCAAAATTTATGAAGGCCCACAGAAGATAGTCCTGCCAAGTTCCATGGATACACCTTTACATAGCTGTAGCAACTGATCCAGTTAAAAAATAGAGAGTAATTACACCACACAACGTAAGCCATAAAGAGGTTTGAAAAAATATAAAGACATCTATTTCTTTGTATTTTAAGGCATATTTATGTAACTGAAATCCAGTGTACTTTGCAAAGCAGATTATAACATGTTCCTAGTGACATTCCAACATTAAACTTTTTAAACATCCTCCTCTTCTTCAAGCACAGTCCTGCATTTCAGTCATCAGCTAAATAAGAAAAACAAAGATGTGACAAGGAAGAAAAAACTTAATTACAATTTCAGAACACTAGCAAAACTGGCTTGCCATAGACACATCCTAGGCAATACAGAGTTGATTTTCAACTTAAATGGAAGGCTCAGTAACACAGTTTCAATAACTTTTTGCCCAGTACACCTGGTAATGTAACTACAGCAATAGTATCAACTGAGCCTGCAAAACCAACTGAAAGAAATTCATTTAAAAAAGAAAAAGGATATATTGAAACATGATATTTAACCCTTATCATTACAAAAAATAGTAATAACACAATCTTCATTCATCTCTAAAGAGAAGACAAAGACTACCTAAAAGGCAGGATGGCTTCATGGACATAAACTAAAAGCACTTGAAAAAGAATGTGCCCCAGACCCATATACATGAGAAGTTAAACTTTTTTTTTAAATCAAGATTTACTGTTGTAACTTTTCTATTTGCTGACTTGCAAGTACAAGTCCAAAAGTAGAAAGCAAAGACCCCTATGCAAGACAAGTCTCTACAGCGATAGAACAGGTGATACATGGATACACAGTACAATGAACATCTTCTTAAGCAGCGCCATTGTGAGCACCATGTACAGAACGCAGAGACCTTAGTGCAACTACCAGCCTTTCAGCATGGAGTGAAGTGGCAATTTTCTGCCTGGTACCAGTTCTTCGTACATTTCTCTTGGGCTTTTTAACAAATGCTGAAATACCCTCCCAAATTTCCCACTTCCCTCATCGCCTTTTATCAAATTTTCAAGAAAAAGCATATTACAAAATCATCAGGCTTGTAGATCCACAAAACAGTGTTTTGAAAGAAGCAGATTCTCATCTTTAGCTTTTTGCGGATGCTTTTCAAATTGCATACTAGGGTCATTTCTAGCAAGAGCTACTGCATGGCCAGTAAGAAGTGTGAGAAGTACACATCTAAGCAGTATGATCTTATCAGAAGTGGGCTTCATCTATACTACACTGCAGTAGTAATTCCACAAGAAATACACGGTTCAAAACTTTTTGTTTGTTAAAATCTCAGACTGGTAAATCTGGGTATCACAGAATCAGCACTGTGACCCCCTCACCCCCCCAGAAAAATCCTGCAGGCTGCAGCTAATTAGATGTTCTTCTGGGTTACAGTGTAAATCCATTCAGTGGAATCATTCAAGGTAAATTTTTTCAGCAAGAAAAAAAAAAACTATCAGGCACACCGAGGTCCTACTGAATTCAAGACGTCTCACACACCAAGGCTTCACTTCATTGCTTCTAATGACTTTACCATAGTAACTCTACAGTATCTATCTCAGTACAACTAGGAAATCAGCAATTATGTTTTGTTATGAGAATTATTATACTTTCCTCCTCCATAACTGAAATGATTTTTCAGCTTTCAAGAGGAATAATCCGAGGATGACTTAAAGGCTTTTGCTGAATGTAGTTTTCTTTTTTACCTGTTATTGAGGAGAGAGAAAATGTACTGGCTTCCCCCAAGTTTAATTAACAGCATACAAAAGGATTTCTCTGCAGACTTATTGTCTGATCTAAGTCTAATGGGACTGAAGCACAGACTGACATGGCTAGTAAGATCTGTGATTCATAAATGCAGAATGAAATCCATTATCTGACAGCATCCATAAGAACAGATTCACAAAACAGGTGTACCCCAAGACAAAAAAATCCACATCATTTCACAAATGTCAGAGTCAAGAACAATCAGTAATCCTCTAAAGAAATAAAACTCTCAAAGACACTTCCTCAAAATGTCATGAGCTCTTCAGAAAGGTCGATGTTATCATACATCTGTATACCAGTGTAGCCAAACACACATACAATCTGGTCATCTGTATAGTCAAAAGAGACAAGGAATGATTTTAAGAGAAAAATAGCAAATATTAGTCCATGATAACTTCAAAAGCAGACTGTTGTTGCTGGGAAGAAAAGAATTAGATGAACTCATCCTGAAGTGCCTACAAATACAGCCTTTTGCCAGCATAAGACAAGATAAGAAGCCAGTAGGTACAGCAGCTCAAAGACTGCTAATTTAGTGCAGCTTTTAAAATGTAATTAATAATATGCAACCTTAGTGACTTCAGTGAAATAAATTATTGCTACATCAACTAAAACATAATTAACCATTACATTCAAACAGATCTGCCTTTGAAAAACAGCTGCACTTCCAATATTCCTAGGCATAAGCATTAACAAGACTCTTAAAGAAACTGGAAGATCTCACTCATGCCTGATAAAGTGCAAAAGAGAATCTGGACTCTGTTTTCAGTTTTCATTAGAGACCTCTGAGTAAAACTTAAAAATTTACAGTCATTCTGTGCATTAAAACAGAAAATATTTTTACAGTGCATTAACATTAACCTTTGAATTCTAGCACTTGTACCAAAAAGTGACATCTATTCTCTTACCACTAACTGCTGCATGTTGCTTCAGGTACTCCCTTCTGACATTTATGTTCTTCACAAGGCACTGCCTAGCGTGAGCTCTTCTCTCTTTCACTGGATCTTTTGCACACAGTGCACAAATAGCCATATATTCTAGTGGCAGCCGTAGTCTAGAAAGCCCTTTGTGAAGTTTCTGAGCAAATATTTGCCTCACTTGGTAACATTCATCCTATTAAAAACAAAACAAAAAAGCAAACAGTGAGCCTTTCTAAAATTAATATCGAGTGTGAAATAAAACACAGAAGGCTGAGTAAATGTCAAAATCAAGTTCAGATCCTGCCAGCACAGAAATGTAGGAACTGTAGAAATACTTGGGTTGTTGTTTGTTGTTTGTTTTTTTTTAATACCAATTCAAAACAATTAAATGGAATTAATCAGTTGGAGTTTCCCTGAAGGCAAGGAAGAAAGTTAAGTCTCAGTCTGTGGAGAAAGATGCCACACTCAGGATCCAAGGACTGACTAGGCACAGAACAGAGGCACAGAAATTGCTTGTAATGGGACTACTCAGTTCATGTGGCCAAAGGTAAAGGCCTGCATTGAAACACTGTTTAATCATAGGTAACCACTATTGATTTTATTATTGCAATTTCACAAATCTTCATCAAGCTATTAGCATTGGAAGTAGAGTAATACTTAACAGAACTAAAGGTCACATGCTTAAGAGACTACCAAACGTTTCCATCATAATGTATCATAATGTAGAAACCTATGAACCATGACTGACCACAGAAGAGCATAATTTGTAACCAACAGTTGTCAATGAACACAAAGTAAAATAATAACAAGGGGAGCAATGTACTCTTATGATTTATTAAACAATGTATTCCCAGAGGAGATATTAACTTCAAAATTCTCTTTATGAAAACAACCTACAAACATCAGGACTCCATTCAAGGCCAAAAAGTGTTAACAGATGCAGGTGTGGAAAATGCACAGGGAAATGTAAACTTATTTATCCCAGCAAAAGTGATCAAGAGGAAAAAGATTTGTTATCTCTAAATATGAGGAAAAAACATTAACAGAAAGAAATACCTATTACGTTAAATGACAGCTTTGAAATCAGAATACATTTAGAGAGTTTCCAGATATCAGCCAACAGGAAGAGCAGAAACAAATGTAGTCACTGGTAACACCCAATCTGCTGAATTTGCAAATGAGGTAAAATATATATGAGATATGAGATATATATATATCAAGATTTTTAAAAAGCTTCCAAATGCCAAAGTTGACTAATGAAGCAGCAGCAACCCAAACTGCAAACTCCACCTGTAAGACATAGTCAAGGTCTATTGCATCTGTATATGGCCTGCCATTTAGTAAATCCATCCCTGAGCAGAAGGCTAAGAAGCCCTCTTCTCCCATTCGTTAATATTACTTATGTCTCAAGTCTTTAGAATTCTTGGAACAGATTTCTGCATAGTTGCTACAACAAAGTAGTAAATCCTTCTTAGATTAGACTCAATGTAAGGTACAGTTCTTTGTTACTGATGCCATTGTGAGATTGTATCCTTCCCTAAGAAATAACACTGATTTATGAAAACTGACAGATTTGCTTAAATAATTAAAACACCCTCAAACTTAGATTATGAAAGAATCTCAGCAAGTTTGTTTGCTGTTCTGTTTTTTCCTTTTTTTTTTTTTTGTTTATGGTTCTTTTTGCTTTTGATATTTTTAATGTACCTTAAATAATAGCAACTATTTTTTCTTAATTCAGCCAAAATTGTATTTTCAACAGCTTATCTTAAAATCTTAAATCTGATCTGAAAAACTTTTGAATACTGAAGTAGTCAACACCATCTTCTACTCTCTTTCAACATGAAGCTTTGCCGACACATCAGTTGTTCTGTAGAACAAAGAACTTGGCTGCTGGGGAGATTACAGGCTCGGGAAATACATACATTACTTATTTTAAAAGGACTAAAACTATGTGCACTTAATCATCATAAAGTTCCTGTTTACCACTGGAACATTAAAGCAACAGGCAATGACATTTAATTACACATTCTACACTCAAGTAATTCCACATTAGAGAATGCGGCATTCCCTCTCTCTCTCAAAAAACAAAAGATCCATTAAATATCAAGCACAGAAATACTGTAGAACACATGCAATAAACCTTAAAAATAAAGCTTTTCCTTTTGTTTTATCTGCTTCTTGATCTGTCCACTTAAAGAAAATCTGCAGTATGCTAAGTTACAGAATATCAGAGTTGGCCTCAATGTCACCTGAGTGCCCTAATCTGTGGTTAGACTTGCTAGTGACAAAAAGGACTATCCATTGTTCTAACAGCTTATGTGTCTACCAGCAGTAAATTAATTTTAGTACTTAGCATAATCTTATGTGTGCATATATATCTGCAAATATTTGAAAAACACATATACTGATTGTATTATTTCCCACATAGATGATCTTGAAGTGTAGATCCTCTGCACCTGAGGATCTGAACTCAACAGCCTGAAAGAAGGATGAAAATGGCAGAAAAATTCAAGAATATCTAGAAAAGTTATTTATAATTATTCATAATCCATTAGGTCCCTCATGGATCAGTAAACATAGAATTTCTGTCCTGAAAGAGCTTACAATCTAAATTTTGATAAACAAATACGGAGGTCAATCAGTTACTGTAAAATTTACAAAGCTTTAAAAACAGGAACGAAATTCTAAGTCTTCACTTATAATTCAAAAGATATTTCCCTTCTGCTACTTCAGTATCAAAAGCAGAAATTCGGGATGACAGCTCCCTATATCTCATATGAAATTGCTCCTAATTCTTCTGCAATTTAAAACATACCAATGACCTTTACAGATCTCCACGTTCCAAATGTATTCTACCCAACTATCAAGAAACAATGATCAACGTTGTCACTGCAGTCCAACTTATCTACGTCTCACTCAAAAATCAATTTTCAGGATTATGAACTGGAAAAAAGAAATTCACATCAAACCCGATGATTTTTTATAAATACAGATTAGCAGAAGTATATGCAACAAACAGCACATAGATATTTGCCAATATCCCACATATCACACCCAACTTCCTTACATTTATGGCTAGTGCACACAGCTGGTACTGTTCCAAGGTGATGATTTCATGGTAACAGGGTTCTTGTGCCAGCTTCACAATAGCACTACCTGCAGCCAACCTCAATCGAGACATATCAGGTTTACTGAAAAACAAGCACATAGGTTATGAGTTAATAAAAGAATGTAGAATTATTTGACTTAATTAAATTTTGGTGAATTAGCATTGCTGAAAGACAGGTATTTTAAAAAGAAAAAAAAACTTCCAGAGTTGGCCTCCACCCAGCCTCAGTTCCCAGACAACAGCACAAGTAACTGCTCATATCAGAAGTTGTTTCCGCTTATCAGATTTTGCAGTCTATTACCACATACCTATTCCCTTGACCCAGCTTTGCAATGAAAATATTTCTTGGAACTTCCTCGAAGCACAACACGGATGTAAATCTGTTTTAATTGTGTGCTGGATCAGCACAGTACCGGCTGCCTTTCAGAGACCTCAACAGACCTCTGACATACTTCTGTTCAGCATGCTCGTTTTCCTTCAGCAGGGGGCTCCTGCCAAGGAAACAGCCCATTTCCAATCCCCAAAGTTGCCAAACTTTCTTATCATGATAGATAGTTCAAAATCCACACTGCACCTCAAAACAAATTTATTTTAATTAGAAACTTTCAGAGGTGACCAAGTGAATTGTACTTTTAAGACAAAAATAATTTAACAACCAAAAATATTCTTAACATGTTGGAAGTACTATTACTTGACTTGTACATGTAAACTGTATTCCTACATAGCAAAACACTCCAAGCATTTGCTATTTTTCATATTGAAATACAGACTGTAACCACGTTTAGAAAGGTCCTCAGAATATCACACATTAGCTTTACAAATTGACATCCACATAACGAGCCCATTAATAAACTTAGTTTGGCTTTCACTCTTAGAAATTTTAACTCAGTAAAACTACATTACTACTGCCTTTCTTTGGAACAAACAGTAAAATAAAGTTAAAAGTTGCGTGTATCACTTGAAACTCTTACTAATGAATTATAGCCAGTAGTAGTAAGTGCAGCCTATTCCTTTGATATTTTGGAGCAATAATCAAGTTGCATTCCAAATTAAAAGTAATCACTCATTCAAGCAGGACTAATATAGTTTAATTTCTTAACCATTTGCCCTTTATTCTTAGGGACAGCAAGCACTGCACTCCTAAGCATTATTATTACCATGAAAACTGTACAAAGCTTTTTAAGATTAAAAGCCACTGTTGAACAGAATAAAAATACCTGAAGAGCTTAAACTTTCATATTATCTGATCAGATCTTATAAACACCTCAGTATTTTATGGAAAAATCAAATAGATGATGAGCAAGGGACAAAACTACATTTCAAATAGAACAGGAAGATTAACATCTAGTCCTCAAATATTAAATTTCATTTTAAGTTGGATCTACTAAGATACATGAATCCAAAACAATTTAATTTTTACACACCAGTGACAAATGAACAATAGCTCAGTGGTACAGAAAGAAAGAGCCAAAGAAACGAAGTTTAGAACTTTCAGTCTTCCTTAGCTTTGGCAGCGATAGCATTTAATTCTGAAAACTGAATTGAAAGATATTTCATGTACAAGTTGGCTAAAACTTTGTGGAGTATATTCAACATGTTCTTGTATCCCAGAAATACCTGTGAGCATGTGAGCATGTTGCAGGAAGGAGGAAGAGGACAGTGACAGTTACGTATTTTTATGATTAAAGGTGAAGATCAGATCTATCCTATTACCCAGGAGGATTACACTAAAAGGAAACCCTAAATAAAGGATTTATCTTTTATCAAATTGTCTTAACCAAACATTTTCCAATCTGTACTGTCCCAACATACACAATTTAAAGCTGAAATTAAAATTTCAGTTTAATATATCTATTGTTTTCAATTACTTCTTGGCATTTTGAAAATTAACACTACAGGCATCCTTGTCATATCAGAAACTCCCTAAGAGCTAAAAGGGGGACCTGGACATTTATTTTCTGGAGTGCTATAACTGTTGCTGAAGATCAGATGTTTGAAAACAGAACAGAAATGCAAGCACATGGAAAGACGTTATCAAGTGCAAAATACTGTGTTGGGATGCACAAAGCTAACTCAAATGTGTCTTCAAAATACATCTAGTATATAATCACCTCTCACTTCACAAACTGATAGCTAAGATTTTCCTTTTCCTCCACAGGGTATAAAGGCCAGTGTCCAATTTTATAAGCAGCTTCCATTTTCCATAGAATGTTTCTTCTAAAAAGACTCTCTGACAACGCTGTGTGTCAGATGGCATAGTAGATTATTATTATATACCATGAAATTCTAAAAGCTAAAGATTAACATTTTTTTTTTTCCCCTGGTAAGCTTCAGTAAGGAAAAATACAGACTGCCTTTCCAAAAGTCTCAATGCAGGTTCATATTTGGCATCAATACTGTGGGTAACTGCTAGCATCCTCCAATGCTCTTACTTTATGCTCACTATAAATTAAAATTCGTCCACAAATAAGGCATGTAATATCCAGCTTGGCTATTTTTACTAATCAGAAATAGAAGAATTGGCACCATATTGAATTTTGAACTTGTAGAAGTATTTGTAATTAATAAATAAATCAAAAATAAATACCTGGAAACCACCACCGAGATAGTGTTTATTGTCAAAATTCAATATTAAACAAACTATTCCTGACACCAGTGAATTCAATTTACCTGTGTTAACATTTCAAAGTAATTAAAAGCAATTCAACAAAGTCAATCTCTCTATGTCAAAGTGAGAAAGATGAAGAGTCAGGATTAATTCGTTTCTTTTCCAAACAAGCACTTGTCTTCACACTGTACTCTAGGCTGAACCATGCTTTCAAATTTGAATATGAATAAATCCCATACCTTTACATGGTCACTGAAAAAGCATAGCTGTGTAGATTTAAGAAGAGTTGTGATCTGAGTCATTTTTATGGTTGATTAAGAACTACTTGTTCCAGAATCTTTAGTTCAACCTTCTAATGATGTGGAACAATAAGATTAGAACACTTTATAACACCAAAGCGAGTGGCAATAAAAGTGATTACAACATGACTTTCAGCCTACAAGAGGTCAAATGTGTCCCGAACCCAGCCACTTTCATGTAATCCAATTATCTTTAGCAAATTACACATTATTATTTAAAAGACAAATGCAAGCCGCAAACACAAAAACTGACTCTACACAGAACAACAGCAGATTTAGAAGTTTAGAAGGCAAGATTCTGTACTGCATAGAGTTTTTCTCTTTTCAAAGCCTACAGCAATCTGAAAGGAGAAGCATCAGATTTCCACACCAGAGATCCAACACACTGCCATTGCATTTTCAAAGGATAAAGAATAAAGGTCTGGAAGGGTCAGCCAGACATCAGGAAGCTCTGTGTATGACAAATGTGCATGAAGCATCATTTTCCCTGCTTCAGTTTACGAAGTTACCCTTTAGCACAGGTGCTATAGCTGACAAAAGCAGACCCAATGCAGAACTGTGCTCCTTGATGTTAGAACTTTTGAAAGTGCAATGCCAGGCATCACAGAATAATTGTGGTCAGATGGAACCGCTACAGGTCAGCCAGCCAAACATGGCTGCTAAAGCAGGGACAGCCAGTAGATTCCCCAGAGCACATCTAGACAGCTTTTGAGTATCTCCAATGAGGGAGACTCCACCACCTCTTTGAGCAACATGTGCCAGTGGTCAGACACCTACACAACTGGAAAAAATGCTCTTAGGCTCAAACAGAACCTCCTGTGTTTCAGTTCATGCTCATTGTCTCTAGTCCTGGCACCGGGTACCGCTGAACACAGAACTCCAGGTGGGGCCTCAGTGGTGCCGATGTAGAGAAAAATGATCTCCCTCAGCTTGCTGGCAATGCTTCACCTACTGAAGCCCAGTATGCTGACTGCCTGTCTTCCAACCAAGGCACGCAGCTGGCTCATGTTCAACTGGACATGACTTGCAGGCCCTTTCTGCTTTCCAGCTAGGCACCTCCCAGTGTTTACTCATGCATGAAATTTTTCTTTCCCAAGTGCAGGACTATGCAATTCCTATTGTTGAACTTTGTGAGGTTCCTGTCAGCACATTTATCCAGCCCTGTTTCCATCTTTCTTTCACGAATCCCTGGCATATCAGCCTCTTCTCTCAGTTTTGTGCCACCAGCAAACTTGCTAAAAGGTACACTGTCTCGTGACCCAGATCATTAAGGAAGGTGTTAAAGAAGCTGACCTCTTGGGTACACCACTGGTTACTGGCCTTCAGCTAAGGTTGGTGCCACTGATTACCATGTTTTGGACTTGAACTTAAAACTATCTGAATGGTCATCTCATTATCTACTCATCCAGCACATGCTTCATCAGCTTCTTTATGAGGATCTTAATGGAGACAAGTGTTGAAAAGCTCCTGAAGTCAAGGTAGATTATATCCACTGCTCTCCTCTACCAAAACTGTCATTTTATCAAAGATTATCATCAAGTTGGTCAAGCATGACTTCCTATTGTTAAATCCAAGCTACTACTACTTTTGATGACTTTCACGCACCTGGTTTCTAATTCTAGAAACCATTAGCTCCACTCTCTAAGGATGAAGGTGAGTCTGATTGGCCTATAGTCAAATTTTTAGGGTCCTCTATAAAGGGTCATGGACTTATGTTTGTCTAGGTGGCTTAAGTATTCCCTGACTGGTTCTTTTCCACCAAGAGTTGGCTTCAGTTTTCTCCAGACATTCCCCTGTTCTCCAGAGCCTCAGACTGGAACAGGCTCCCCAGGAAGGTGTTTGAGTCACCCAACCCTTTGGAGGTGGTGCTCAGGGACATGACTTAGCAGTGGGTTTTTAGAGTTCAGGTAGTACATTTAGGTTGTGGTTGGACTTAATGATCTTTAAGGCCTTTTCCAACCTGAGCAATTCTATGATAGTATGATTCCTGGGGCTGGTCTTGCTAGTAAAGGCTGAGACAAACGACATTCAACACCCCAGCCTTTCCACATCCTGCATCACCAAGGCTCCTGCCCCATTCAGCCCCATTCCCTAGTCTTCCTTTTGTCACTTATTTACAAGCCCTTCTTGTTGTCTTTGATATCCCTCATCAGATTTAATTCCAGATGGGTTTTGACTATCCTAATGTTGTCCCCACATGCTCAGACAACACCTCTGTATTCCTCCTAGGTTACCTGTCCCTTCTTCTACCTTCTGCACACCTCTTTTATGTCTGAGTTCTGTCAAGAGCTCTTCGTTCAGTCACACAGGTCTCCTGCCATTTTTGCGTGATCTTATGTTTGTCAGAATGAACCACTCTGTAATAATCAGTTACCTTGGACCCCTTTTCACAAAGCTGCTGGACTGGGTAAGTCAACGAGCTCCAGTTATGCTGAAAAGCCAATGGTGTTACTTAGGTCCTTTGTAACTGCCACAAATGGTCATATTACAGAATTCAAAATGATAAAATAACTATTTATGAGAAATTTTAAGAAAGCCCGCACATTACTACGAAGATGATATGCCAGTAAATTCTCAGGTTTCAGCTTTACACACACAACATAGACCTAAATTTGCATGATGGCTGTACAGCATTTAATTCTGCCCCAAAATTAAAATCTTTTTGCTCTTACTGGCACAATCCATGCATGCATTTAACAGCTTCTGCAGATGCAAGTTTTCAATATTTGGAAAACAATAATGCCTGAAAACTTGTCCCTTCCACAGCAGCGGATCAAGAAAATATCCAGTGAAATAAATAAGTTGTCTAACAGCCATCTAAAAGAGAAATTATTTATTGAGAATTAATCTTCTTTACACATTTCCAACTCCATTTCACTTTCAGAGACCTCCAGGGAATAAAGTCTGCCTTCAAACAGAAGTGCCTCATGTACTAGCTATTCCCACCTGGTTTCTGGCAACATGCTGAAAACAATACATTGGCAATATGCTGGCAAATGTGTATGCTCAAAATCCATAAACAGCCTTTCTCATAAAACACAACTGGTACATCGGCAACAATAAGCGACAAAAAAATTTAAAACCCATTTTCAGCGGTACAAAGGAAGTTACTCAGTTTATTCTTGCAGTCTGAGTAATGGCCCTTTAAAGAAGATAAAACAGACATTAAAATACAGCTGCATCTAGGGTGTTAAAATAAACTAAGTCTCAGCAAACTTCTGTAGGAATTCAGCCAAGCTTATCATTGAGTTAAAAAACAAATCATATAAAGATTCTTATACAATAACAGAACAGTTTAAGTATTACTTCGACTAAAATTCATGTACTCTACCTATTGCATCACCAAGGACATCAAAATGTTACTATTTGTTACATACCTAATTTTCCCCTGCTCTGTCAAATCTCCATCACTGTGTAATATTGTTGTTAGCAACCTTAGAGTAGAAGTTCCTGATTTACTGTGGTTGTTCTTCATTCCTAGCAACCATCGAACCATCATCTTGATGGCCTGAATCTGAAAGATTTTGATATGCAAATGTCAAGTCACATCATATGTCTTATTTGAAAAGTAATGATAGAATATTTTGTTTGTTTACAAGACATTCATAAACATAATGTATCCACTATTATATATAGACATATTATAACATCATAACTATTTAAAATAATCTATCAGTTTAACTATTGTTTTATTTCAAGTGCTTTTTACTAAGAATGTATGTTTGATAAGACTGCAAAACATCATTTAAAATACTGTGCCCACTACTGAAAAGACAACTAGACAGATAAAAATGAAGATAAAAATTAGAAACTGACAATCTTTGACATTTATTACAGCAAATTGAAGTCATATGACATTTAAAGTTTTGGCAGTTTCTTCCACTACACAATCACATTCTGTCCTGTGAAAACATTGTCTTAATTGACCTTACATCTACCAAACATTGTGTGATCAGCAAACTATGTATACTTAAGAAAATGTAATTGGATCAAAATGTGAAACATTTCTATGCTCATAGAATTCATATGCTTTAATAATCCCTACGAAGTCCTTACATTTGCAATATTTGAATATAAAATTATTTAAGAAATGTAAATTAAAAACGACTTCATAGACATTTTGATCAGTACAGTATTAACCTGCATTAAGATAACTGGCTCCGGAAAAGAATATTTCTTTCCTAGCTATTTAAAGAAAAGCCTCAAAGCCTGTTACTTAAGATAACTTGTCCTTTGCCAATGGAAACGCTGAGTCTTTTGAGGCAAGCTTCTAAAAGTATGCAGAATCTAGCAGCTATCATGAAACACTGAATAATTTCTAATTTCTTTAGTGAAAGTAAAGCATGAGTTTGGAGATTAAATTTATTATCTGAATCCTCTCTGTCTTTAGTTTTCCTTCTGTATGAGAGCAAAGAGTAACGAAAACAGAAAGAGGAATATTTTCTTACAGCAAAATGAAAGTGTTCATCTAAAACAAGTAGACATTCTTGGGGAGCAGGGGGCTGGGGAGAAATCCAGAACACAGAATTCAAGAGCTCTACAAAATCTAAACATAAATATAAAAAAACTAAATACAAAGCTAGCACTGGAAGGAACCTACTACATGCTAAATCCAATCACTCTATTTTAATATGTGATTGTACATAGTAACAGAATTCCTTTTTCCCTGAAAGACAAAGTTCTATCAACTTAATAGTCAAAATATTACTGAACAAAGTTCACAATATGACCTCCTTCATGTAAAACTGAACACAGTGGTCCCTTCAGATCTCTAAATTCTGTCACTTATTTTTACAAGTTTATTTTTAGCACCACAGCCCATCTATTCCACAAACAGAATTAGGGATATTGGGAACACCAGCAGGAGGCAGGCTATCAAGAAGTAAAATCACAAATCAATTTTGTGGAACAGAAATGAAATTCAGTCTTGCCCTATCCCTCAACTGGTATTCAGGTATCCCTGTTTGTAAGCAGTCTCTAGCTATCCACTAGGAGATGACGACGATGACAATAATAATAGCAGCAGCAGCAGCTTTGGCAGTCTATCTATTTAATTATTTCATGTCACAACCAGTACCTGTATCATTACTGTCTCCCATTTGTTGTGAAGACAGAAACATTATAGTTCTGTGTGGTCTTCAAGTAAATACGTATATGAATCTTCACTCCTCAAACTGCATAACTTCCTTAACAACAGACTTCTGTGCATACAAATTTAGTCAGGGAGCAGCCACATGCTGTCTTGTGCTCCTGCATCTCTGGTCAGCTCCCAGTCAATTTTTTATTTTAACCTTTGCTTCTCCCTTCCTCTCCACAGCTCCTTCCCCCTAGTTTTTAAGAAGTCTACTACTCTAAGTCATGCTATCACAGAACAAGTCCTAAACCCAGGTCCTTCAGTATTTTCCTATCTTACCTCTCTGTTCGTTATTTCTCAGTTGCTGTTAATGATGTTTTGACAACATTACAACAATGCTTCAGAATTAAATATTCCAATAAAATTAATTAGTATGGGACATGAAAATCCTACCTTACCCACTGCATCAAGCAACCTGAACACGAGTTTGCACCACCTCCTTGTTTTAAATTTTATTTTTGCAGCCAAATAGGATAATTATCAAAAATAATTCAGTTTGGAAGGAATTTCAGATTGTCCCCAGTCCAATCTTAAAGGAAGATCAACTATGAAGTTAGTTTTACTCAGTTTGGTGTTGAAATCCTCCAAGAATAGGGATTGCACAGCCTCTTGGCACCCTGCCCAACTCTGACTGTTCTTTCCTTATATCTACTCCGAATCTCATTTCACTTTATGTTCCATGAGACTGAATTCTCTGATATCAGAAGTTAAGTCTTAGATTATATGCAGCATGAGAGGTCACGAATTACTCCCTACCACCAGATAAGACAGTACAACATGAATTAGGTGTATTTTAAGTGCAATCAAAAACAATCGTACATGATTACTTTTTTTCCTCCAGAGATGATATATCATTGGTTTGTCATATAAGGGAACTGAAATTAATAACTAGCTTTACATAAACCATCAGCAGCAAATAAGCATTAACATTTAAAGATGAAAATTAACAAAAAAAAATCAACAGTAAAGTATAGCCTTTTTCTCTCATCTAGGTTACCATCATACCTCTACTATAAAAACATAATGGGCACCCATCCCCTCTAGTAATTCTAGAAAACAATCCTGGAAACAGTCTCCTTACTACATCCATATACATCTACAATAGGTTGCTCAATTTTCTTCTACTCAAGTTTTGGGAACCACAAATACCACAGAAATAGCACAGAACTTGAAGGTTAGCACAGTAACAAAAAAATGGAACACTGCCTACATAAAACACAGCTAGAGAAATAGAAACCTAATACTGTAGGATATATAGAAAGAAACAAGAAATACTACTGCTGCTATGTAAGACTCAATCTGGCTGCATGGCACACTGAAATAGTCATAATTAATCTTGCTAGCTTTAAGATAGTCATTACATGTATTATACAATTACATTACAAAAGGGGAGAAAGGCTTTTAAAACCAGTGTAAAGTACAGTCACAGATCCATTTCTAAACTAACGGTGTGGCCTGCACTCTTCATTAAATATAGGTTTTGCAGTGGTAATAAATGTTAATTAAATTTGCAGATCAATGTTCACAATAACTTGTTTTCACTTGCCAACAAATGCTTCTCACAGTTTTTGAGCTTGGCTTCAACTTCAAGTTGCCCTAGGATTTTCTATAAGCCAATTTCACTTCCAAATAGCCAAGCTGTATGAAAAGTTTTATCAACAAAAAGCACATTTTAAAGCTCCACAAATCTCTTCAAAAATGTATATATCAAGCAACATTGACTATGCCAAGTGACATGCATAATCACTGAAGTGAAACCATGTCTATTTTAAACTAACAGGTTTTGGAGTGTACTACATAACTACAGCATTGCATGCATAGGAAAAATGCCTTTGCTGTAGCTGAATGAGAAAAAGCAAAGAAAGCAGCTCCAAATAGAACTGGCTTTCAGTAATTACTTTTGTACCGAGTTGCAAACCAAGGAACTTACTAAACTAGCAGACCAGGAAACATTAAGGCGCAAAGAGTTTAACAACTTTAATAAAAAAAGCAGAATTTCTTAAAATCATCAGAGCAACTTTATTCAAAAGGAAGTGGAAATTAAATAAATGCTCTAATTAACTTGAAAACAGCATGGTACAAAGTACATGCATCTTTCTAACTACAGAAGATAATGTTAAACTACAATCTCTCCCTGATCTGAAGGAAGAACATTTAAAAACAATACACATATGCTGTAGAGACTAAATCTGTTTGAGTGAAGAAAGAACTACTAGCAAGAACAGAAATGGCAATAATAAATTTATATCCGAAAAAGAACAAGCTTCAGATTACATTTTTAAGCACAAGTAAAAAATATATATATTTTCTTTAATCCACATTACTCTTCTACATACAATGTAACACATGTACTCATTTGAGAAGAAAGCCAAATTCAAAAACAACTTTTTCCATGTTCCAAAAAACCACTAAGAGTCTATTGAAATGTCCTAAAAATTCAAAAGAAAGAAAAAAGGGGAAAATGTCTCTACGATGTTTAATTCCTGCTGAACAGGAAAATAAACTAACTTCATTTGTGTTCACATCTGGAATGGATTTCATGTGCTCTGCTTACATAAGGATATAATAAATGACAGTAAAACATCAATGATGTGCATATTTACTGTGTTCATTTTATAAAAGATGCTCCCAAAATCAAAATATTTTCTTCTATCAATCCTAAGATGTTTTCTCTTATGAAGCCATTAATTTAGAAAGAGCTATTCCTTTTTACTTTAATAAAGGTGACAAGGAAACAGAGTTGACAGCCATATGAACACAGACATTTAATTTTATTATTTACAACACAATTACAGCAAATGCTACTTACTTTAACAAGTGTTTCAGGAGACACTTCTTCATCTGGGACCCAAAGTTTTGTTGTCTTTTTTCCTGGAAGCTAAAACAAATTTTAGATTTTGTTACACTACTGTTACTCTTCAGTGAAACCTGCTGTAATCTCCTCTTTCTGTTTGCTTCTGAAAGCAATACAGCAGCACTAACTAGTTAGCTTTATGCCTCATGCATTTTATAGAAGTAACCACTACAGAACTGGGATACGGTTCTTATCTTGCTACTCAAATACTAGCAAATGTATCACTTGTAAAACGATTTTGGTTGTCTTGCTATTACCTGAATCTTACTACTTCAGAATGTAATAGGCATTGCTTTGAAAATAATTTTTATTTTTCATATCCAGTGGACTGGAATCTCACATGCGTAATTGTAGACAGTAAATTTCTCCCTAAACATAGCTGACAACACGCAAGTTATTTTTGTCACTTTTTGAAGTCTCATGCAGATTAACATTAAGAGTTTCAGTTCATTTCAATTTCAAATGCACCATACTGTAGTGGTTTAACCTCGGCTGGCTGCCAGGTGCCTACCCAGCCAATCTCTTGGTTCTCTTATTTCTCCTCAGCAGGATGGGGGAGAAACCTGACAGAACAGCTTGTGCATTGAAACAGGATAAGGAGATCACTCATCAATTATCATCATAGGCAAAACAGACTTGGCTTTGGGAAGATTAATTTAATTTACTGCCAACTAAAAATGAGAGTTGGGCACTGAGAAACAAAAGCAAGTCAAAACCACCTCCTTCCTACAATCCTGCTTCTTCTACGTTCAACTTCAATCTTAAATATTCTATCCTCTTGCATCTACCCCAACTGAACAGTGCAGGGAGACAGAGAAAGGGGTTGAGGTCAGTACATCATCTCACACTTCATCTCTGCAGCTCCTTCAAGAAAGCTTACTACCTAAAGCCAATACACATATTTCCTTAAAGATAAGAAATGCAATTTGCTTGCTTAAGACAGGAGTGACTGAAATCAATATCAATATTCCTACTATTAAAAAGAGACCAGACATAAGTAATCTCAAATGCTGTGCTATACACCTTTTTTTTTTCTTTTTTCTTTTTTTCCCTTTAAGGCCCACCAAATCAGTACTAAATTAGTACTCCATCCTTCCCTGTACTGCGAGTATTCAATTGGGTCACACAGTACATGTGGAAATCCAAGCATAACCATCTACAAACAGTAGGAGCAAATGACCACATCTATGTGATGAGTATCCTGCAACAGGAGAATCTTAGAACAAAGTTTTAAAAATACTTACCCTGTCATTCATTAGCAAGTCTTTAACAATAAAAGTGGCAACTAAAGATTTCAAAGGGGCAGCAAACTGATCAGGTGCGAGCATGGCTATATGGCCAATAGTAACCAGTGGTGTAATGAGATGCTCAAAATTGCTTGGATCCAGACTTTTATGAAGTGGCTAAAACAAAGGCAACAAATTAAAGTATTAATTATATAATCTACGTCTTATTCAGATAAGGGGTGGGGAAAGAGACATTCCTATTTCAGAAATATAATTTTTTTAAATAAATATTTGTTATTTAAAGTCATGTTCACCAATAGATCTCCTATAAGTTGAAAGAACAAAAATGAAGCAGAAAAAGACAAAATGGATGGTGTAAGAAATGGTAGCCCAACCTGAACAGATTGAGTACCAACAAATTTAAAAAGTAATTTCCTACTGAAGAGGTGAGCATAATACATTTCAAGATGGTAATTTCAGTAGTGGATTGGATTCACCTCTCAAGCTGATCAGCACTAATTAGTTAAAACAGCAGATGTTCTTTCTATGACATCTATATAAGTAATCACTACCATAATTCAGTATTTCATAGCTTCTGTAACCATTTGACTCCTCTGGGTCAATCCCAAAAAGCACTGAGGGGTGGTATATAACTCCTCTTTCCAAGAACAGTTTACAATTGAGTTTTACCCTATAGGTTATTAAAAAATCAACAACCCTAAACATGATCATAGAAGGAACCCTCTAAAGACTGAAGATCAACTAGTTCCAGCCTCCCTGTTATGGGAGCCATCAGGCTGCTCAAAGGCCCCATTCAACTTGGCCTTCAACAAACTCTAGGGAGGAGGGCATCCATAACTTCTCTAGGTAACCTGTTCCAGTATCATGATGGATCATCAGATTCTAAAAATTAAAAAAAAAAAAAAAAAAAATCTAATCATCTTCTACTACCATTCTTACATCACATTGTATGAGATCAAAGGGAGCGAGAAAAGGGAATGAATACCTTCTGTAGGTTTGGTATAACTAAACTGCCACGTGAATTGCCACTGTATCTCTTAATTTACATATGTGTGCTATAAAAGATAAAAAGAAAAATATTTTCATTTTTACCTCAAATATCTGTGCAAACTGTGTTTCTTTGCTAGAAAATATTGCATTGATGCAGTGAATAGCATACTTGGCTTGACGAGGAGGTCCTTTTTTGGCTTTATGATGCAACACTGGAAGCAAAGCACTTAAAAAAAAAAGAAAAAAACATGTACCTCCTCAAAAATGGATATCTTACTATCAACATATCAAACTAAGAAAAACCACATACATATATATATATTGAATGTAACACCTCAGTAAAAATTCTATTTCTCCTGGTTTTGGCAATTTTCTCAAAGAAAGGGACCACCACAGTGGCTTCTACTGATAAAATCTCATGTAGCAAAATAAACATTTTATCTCTGCCTACAAGGTAATACAAGTTTTCATTTGAGAAAACTGACAAACATTTTTATTATAGAAGCACAAGCTACTAAACACTTTAGTCTACACATCCTCATCACTCTGTAGATATTAAATAGCAAAGAACATTTTTACATTGTTATATACTTAATTTAGAAAAGAGTGTAAGTGATTCTGAAGGGCAATTATACAAATTAGAGCATTACCAGCTAGCACTTCTTTGCATATATTTCACTTCTACACTTCTACATTAAAAGTTACTCTACTTTAAAGTCATTTAAATCTTTCTGTTTTAACTGAAGTAAAACTTTCTTCCAAAAGAATGCAGTATAAATCATACCATTCAAAGTTGAATGAGAAAGTCTATAATCCCATGTAATTAAAAACACTACTCATAATAACATATACAACTTACGATCTTATATGAGGAAAGTCTTCTTCAATTTTACTTCCAGTATTTTTGAAAATTTGTAATGCAGCTTCTGCCACTTTTTCATCATCCATTTTCAAGCAAGCCAGAAGAGATTCAAAAGTTTCAGCTGAATGAAATGAGATAGGATGTGTAAATGAAAGTACCTGTCAAAAAAAGAAAAAAACAAAAAAAAAAGCATGTTATTATTTTTTAAAGGTCCACTTAGCCAGAATGCTCCATCAAGAGTCACGTTTCAGCTACTATCTTGGAATATTTCTAATATGCTGCCTGTTTCTGACATAAGACATTTCTCTTCTTCTAACTTTTTTTGTTAAAGCATCTCTTCAATGTCTTTATATATGATCTTATCAGTTTAACTGCATTTCAGTCTGTTATTTCCTCTCCTGCTGCTGTAAGCATATACATTTCAGAGGCTACATCTATATTACCAAGTACTGGGTTAGAGCAGAAGCTGCTCTTCAGAGAAACAATTTCTGGATGAGGGAATTTAGAGCACGTTCAGTAAGTTTGCAGATGATACCAAGCTGGCAAGAAGTGTCAACCTGTCTGAGGGTAGAAAGGCACTACAGAGAGATCTGGACAGGCTGGATTTCTGCACTGAGGGCAAAGGGATGAAGTTCAACACAACCAAGTGCTGGGTCCTGCGCTTTAGCCACAACAACCACAAGCAATGCTACAGGCTTGGGACAGAGTGGATGGAAGACTGTGTGGAAGAAATGGACTTGAGGGTGTTGGTCAACGCTCAGTTAAAAATGAGCCAGCAGGGTGTCCAGGTAGCCAAGAAGGCCAGTGGCAGCCTGGCTTGTATCAAAAATAGTGTTGCCAGCAGGAGCAGAGAGGTGATCATCCTCCTGCACTCAGCTCTGATGATGAGGTTGCACGTCAAGTACTGCATTTAGTTTTGTGCCCCTCACTACAAGAAAGACATCGAGGCTCGAGAGAAGGGCAACAAAGCTTTGAGGAGCACAAGTCTGATGGGGAGTGACTGAGGGAACCGGGATTGTTCGGTTACCTGGAGGGAACTGGAGAAGAGGAGGCTCAGGGGAGACCTTATCTCTCTCTACAACTGCCTGAAAGGAGGTTATAGTGAAGTGGAGGTCGGCCTCTTCTCCTGCATAACTAGCAATACGACTAAAGGGAACGGCCTCAAGTTGCAAGAGAAAGCTTCAGGTTGGGTAGGGTTTGCTATATTAACTGAGCCTCAAGAAAGATTAGATACAGTAAAAATAGGTAGACCACCACCAGTGTATGTGGAATTCAGAAAAATGACAGTATTATGCTCATACACAAGTACAGTTCTAGAAGTACTATAAATGATATTCACAAACCACTGAATTCATACTCTAGTAATTAAAAAAAAAAAAAATCAGCAGTTGATATCATAAATATAATTACTTCTGAATTTTAGAAAAGCTTCTAAATAATTTCTAAAATAACCTTATATTTTGAGGTTATAAACTTGATATATCAGAACAAACAGAATCAAAACCAAACCAGTACTCTTCCAAACAACCACCACAATTCTTATGACTAAATTACTAATTGCTAATTACAAAGTTATTTTAATAAAATTATTACAGAAAGTTTTCATATGCTTATGGACAATCAAGAATACACTTGCCTTAAGCAACTCAAGACCTGCTCTGATTGCCTGGTCAGTAGGCACACCCTCATCTTCATCATCAGCTGTTCCATCTATAGATTTGTTTACTTGCTTGATAAGGGCACTGAAGAGAAAAACAAAATCACAGCTTTGCATTTACTGCAATTCCATTCTGTTTGACTGGTTTCATAAGTTTAAGACATACATTTTATTAAATAAACTTAAGACTTATAAAATATAAGCTTATTATAAAATAAATGCAAGTCAACTACATAAATTATCCAACTGTCCTCATCCCCCACTAAGCATTAAGTTAAAAAAAACATTTATCATGACTTCAGCATTATATATAAAATTACTGTGGAATGCTGATCCAAGTAAACAAACAATTTGAGCATTAAAGTAACAAATTCAGGTAAGAATTATGATGAGTTTGCTAATTCCTATTGATACTTAAAAACTGATGCACTATAACCATCAATAACAGTAGTAGGTAAACAACTATTAAACAGCTGTTCAGGAAGTTGATGAGAAATTTAACAGACTTATCTCCTGCACATTTCTCCTTGACAGTAATGTTTGTTTTTTCTTACACTGTAGCCTAGGAAGGTAAATGGCAATTATCCAAATGCCCCTGTGAGTGAGTGCTATAAGGTAACTTCCCTGCAAAGGACTGAACAATATTCAGAACACTCCTTCAGTAAATTCTGTAAGGGATATTTATAATCACTGTGAGCAAACCAAGAAATAGATCTCCTACTAAGGCTCTCATTTTTTTTATGCATCTGACAGGACAAAAATAACTACCTGTAGGAAAACAAACCAATCTGACAGTCTCAAAAATGAAGAAAAAAATTTAGAGAAAAAATTTACAAAGAAATATCAACTCTGTAGCAAAAATAAAATACCTGTTTTTCTTTTTTCTTTTCTTTTTTTTTTTTTAAATAAACTTACTCCCCTTCTCTTCTTGAGAGTCAGTCAGCATGTACACAGTGAAACAAACATCACAGCTTACCACATTTGAATATTACCTAAATATACATTTCATATTGCTTTTGTGATGCTTTTTAATGTACTTTCAAATTTGAAAGCAAAAATCTAGCTGTACTTTATCCAAGATCAAAAGACAAGTTGTGTTTCTGAAAGATTCTTTTAAATGAAATCTCAACAGCACCATTACACTGTGTATGTGACAAAAATAAACTGAAAAACTCAAGTCCTTAAAAGTCAGTTACTACAGTTGGAATTAGCAGATAAGAATTTACCAGTATTTACAACTAGTTTTCTCTAAAAACTCCACCACGTATCTCAAATATATCTGTTAAATAATTTTTTCAGCAATTACTTTTTTCCACTGTCATAATTTCATTGGCTTACTCCTACTTAAACATTTGGTGCCTCATCACCACAACCTTTACTTCCTCAGTTAAATTACTCAGACTGTATTACTATGAGCTAATATTCTGGATGAACATTTTTAATCAAGTTTTTCAATTGCCATGGACAGAAATTTCCTTTTAAATAAGGCAGTCACTTGAAAACCAAACTTCCCCCATGAGTAATAAATCCATTTTTTGCTGACAGTTTATCCCATCTGTGATGAATGACAAACAATTGTGTAGTTACACTCTGAACGGGGAGACAAAAATCCCTTAGCAAGGAAAAACAAGAAAATACAGCTAGTCAATAGGCCGTAAAAATTCCCCTCCAATAGTGATTCCATTATTGCTTGTGCTTAAAGACAAAATTAGAAATTCTGATTTCAAATTATGTGATCTGCAGTCCACAACATGCTCACAAAATTACCTGATGGATTCAGTATCAATGTGCACAGGAGCAATTCTCTCAAGAAGAAACTTAATCATCTCCAGGAAAGGATTTGTTGGTTGTTTTGGGTTGCCCAACTTCTTTGTAATTTCCCTCTGCAACATAAGTTTCAGTTATGTTTATAACCAATTTATTACTCAAAGCAGCAGTGTATGCTAAGAGCTATTCTTACCACACATCCCTCAGCCTGTTTGCATGAACATGTTGGGCTAACAAGCATTTCTAATTGACTTCTTATTTTTTCATCATCTTCTAGAACTTGTGTGAATTTCTTCATGAAATCTTGAGCTTTCCCTGGATCAGGAAGGTTTCCTTAAAGCATGCAAGAGAAATTACTATTTTTATAAATATTAGGACTGTAAGTTACACAAGTTTGAAACATCTCACCAACTGAATTTCTGCGTGTATTTAAGTTAAACCAAAAAGAGAAGAAAAAGCAACAAAACATCTTAATGTGCAGATATATCTATGAGGACACAAATTTTCAGACTTCTATACCCATAGACCTCTGTCTGTTCATTTCTTCACCCTTCTTTTCCCTTTTGCTTCTTAACAGTCATCCCACATGAACACAATGTACCTTGAGCAAGTGTAATTGGTCACCTTAATAACAGCTGAAACTAACCACAGCAACAATGTAAAGCCTATAATCCACAAAGAAGTACACTTCATATATAGATAAGTTGATAAAACAAGCAAAAAGCCTTAAAAGGGCATTTTTGCTAAATTACTTCCCCTTAAATCTAAACTTTACAATGACTTACAATGTTTCAGTCAACACTACAAAATGCGTTTCTTAAGCCATGTATTAACCTTATATTTACATTTTAACAAGACAATTTATTGACAAAATGTATTTGTATACTACTTCAAATGCTACATATTTTGGTACAGTAGATGTTAAGCAAAGTTGACATAGAAAATAGCAAACAACTATAGGATCACTAGTTCAAAACAAATTCTACTAAATATTTGTTTTAGTGTATGTTTTTTTAAATTATTTTTTGAAAATGAAATATAGAACTACAGCAATTAGAACTATTACAAACTGATCAGCTTTTATATTTATAAATATAAATATATTAAAAAAAAGAAAAAAGGATTTTGGACACGGCCAACAAAGCAGCATGATTCAGACTGCCCTTTTTGTTTTTTGGCCAAAAGAACAGTTATCTTTTTTTAATTCTTAAAGTTTTTTTTTTTTTTAAATCAAAATTTGAGAATTGTAAATTAACTTTTTCTAACTGGTTGTAACATTATTGGCACAGCAAGCTGGAGGGAAAAAAAAGCACTGCTTCTTTTGTTCTCCTGCCTTCTCTCCCTCATTTCCCCCAAGAGTTTAAATTTTACAGAAGTTATTCCATTTCCAAAGTGCATCCCCAACTATCAAAACCCAAACTCTTTTTCATTCTCCCAATAACACTTACAGTAATCAGATCTCAGAAACAGGTAAGGCAATATGTAATTTAGTAGGTTAATCAGCATCAGTTAATACATAATAAATGCTAGAGGACACAATAACACTACGTCATCTACATTTAAAATTAATCTACAACAGTTAGAAAAGTAGCCAAAACGTCAAGTGATAAGCTTCAAGAATACTTTCTACAGTATGTAATTCTGCTTACAGTAAATACTTCAATTGACTTACTTGTTATTACCATCACTTTTGAGAATATAGCTTTACTGCTGGCATCTGTCTGCAAGTCAAACAAGGAAAACATAAGTAAAATTTTTAAATAATATATTTCTGCTTGAAAATTGAATTAGCAACAATAAACAAACAGAAATATTTCATTGCTGTGTAATGAGCATTTTCAAGTAACTCTGAAATCTTAACAAGGATAAGAATTGGAGCCTGAAAGAAAATTCAAGCTTATAGCAATGGAGCCAAGAATGTATCAGCTTCCAAACCATAAAGCAAACCACTCTTTTGTCCAATGTCTTCTGAAAGAGCATTCTTAGTGGCACAGATTACTAAATCTGCCAAAGTATTCATAAATACACATAAGTAGTAACTATCAAGGGCTAGAACTACTTAATTTGTTCTCAGAGGACTACCATTTTAATGGGAACACAGCCACTCTCTAAGAAAAGTATTTAATGTTAAAAAGAACAGCACTTAGCAACCACCACTGCTAGAACTGTCTTTTAGAGAACTTGCTTTAGAACTCACAAACCTAAAAATTACAAACAGGCAACAAAGACAAAGACAAAAAAATTCTTCATATCAAAGCACTTAAAATGAGGTAAATGAAGACTGATGGTGGCTCTTTTCATCAGCTTCATGTCATCACTAAGTGGCAGTGTTGCAAGACACTAGCATTTTCTTATGAAAGACTCAAAATTATTACAGAGCAGAGGGGAAACCATCAAGACAGAGGTGGAAGTCAAATCCAGGGATATCCAATTTCTATTTTCTTAGTGAAATCCAATATAAATTTCAAACATGGTTCAAATAAGCCACTCAGCTTTGGAAGCAACACAGAACCTATTTATTACAATAACTTGGGCTAACAAATTAAAGTGTCTATTACAGAAAAAGTATCTTTAAAATCTTCAGAGGAAATCTCTGTTCTGAAGAAAACTACATACTTCAAAAGAAAACAGGCTTTTGAGTCCCAGCATTATTGCAGACAATAATAATTGATCAGGTAATTTGTAGTAACTCTCGTAATGTTTGAGGACTGTGTCAATCTTGGAAAGATTGAAGTATAACAAAAACTATAGAATCATAGAATGGCCTTGGGTTGAAAAGGACCTCAAAGATCATCTAGTTTCAACCCCCCTGCTATGTGCAGGGTCACCAACCAGCAGACCAGGCTGCCCAGAGCCACATCCAGCCTGGCCTTGAATGCCTCCAGGGATGGGGCATCCACAGCCTCCTTGGGCAACCTGTTCCAGTGCGTCACCAGCCTCTGTGTGAAAAACTTCCTCCTAATATCTAACCGAAGCCTTTCCTGTCTCAGTTTAAAACCATTCCCCCTTGTCCTATCACTATCCACCCTTGTAAACAGTTGTACCCCCTTCTGTTTGTATGCTCCCTTCAAATATTGGAAGGCCACAGAAAATAGAGCTTGAGATTAAGATCAGCAGTGTTACCAGTGAATATCATCTGTCTTACGACATGGACGTCCTTCCAGGCATTAAATATTTGTAGAGTATTTCCTGTCACTTCTAAGTGTCAGAAGAATGCTGTTATTTTTAAGGTTCTTCCACCTGAGAGCTGAACAGGCACATTCAGACTAGAAATGGATGGTGGCAGAGGGAACTCCAGAAACCAATTCTAGTTTACAGATTTCACCAGATACAGAATCTCTAAAATGTGCTCCTCTTGCAAATCAGAAAACAGGAAAACCACCACCCTTTATTGTGGAGTTCCTTTGATTGTCTGATCTTCCAGTACTGAGTTGGTCCTCCGGTACTAATGGCTGAAGCTCTCATTAAAACAGCCTTTAAAGTGCACAAAATACAGATCACTCATCCAAATACAAGACAGACAGTCAGAAGGATTCTTTTAACTTCTAGAAGTATAGCCCTACTGAATAATGACAGATTGATGATCAAGAAACATTTCTTCTTAAAAGATCTACTGTGGCATATTATCTACACATCCTTGCATTCATGATACAGAAGCATCAGAACAGCAGCATATCTGCAGCAAATAAAGCTTACACTTCTAATACAGACACAACAGTATTCATCCACTTTCCCATGTGTGAGCAAGCAAATTTAACTGTATCATTTCTAAAGGAGAAAATTAGAAGTGGTATCTCTGCTTAAAGAAAGGATTGATGTCTGTTCTGTATTAGAATAGAAAAAGTTAGGAAACTCCTTATTTCTGTTGATCGTAACGCTTTCAGTCTCTTCAATCATGTTTGTTAAACAATAGAGCTTGCACTGGGGAAAGCAGTGGGCAATAAGACAAAAAAGCCTCGGGGGCTGGAGAAGGAAAAACCCTGAAGAGTTTCACTAGATGTCAAAATGATTTTCAAGGATGGGGGAAAAACAGTGGACTGGAAAATTCAAAAATCCATAATCACAGAATAATTTAAGTTGGAAGGAACAACTGTAGGTTGCCTGGTTGAAGTGCCTACTCAAAGCAAGGCCAGCTTAGATGAGGTTTCGCGCCAGGCCTCACCTTGCTGTGTTTATAAGTATTTACAAGGGTGAAGAATTCACAGCCTCTCTGAACAAATTGTTCCCATATTTTATCATCCTCACAGTCTTATTTCTTTTCCTCCTTCTTATCTACTCAGAATTTCCGATTGGCCATTTTTTACACTGCTTTTTGTAAAAAAAAAAAAAAAACAGGACCCCAGGACATCTCATAGCTCTTCCAGTATGTCCATATGTCCACTTGCCACATGGAGAAAAGTCAACAATTAAGGTACCGTAACCAATAAAGGTAGAAATCAGACCAAAGTGAAAAATTTATGTATGGTAACATTAAGTTATCTTCTGAAAGACTGCTAGTTCATTCAGTCTTGTTTTGTGAAATAAAAAAGTTGCTAGACATCTGAATGACAATTTCCATTCAAATAAAATAAAAAAAAAGTTTACTACAATCAGCTGAGCGTCTTTATTGGGCATAATTGGCAAAGGGCTGCAGAAATGACCTGGGCAGAATAAGGTGAGTGACTGCCAGTGCCAGACACAGCAGCTTTCAGCCAGCTCCACACTCAACAAAACCAACCCATCTGCCAGAACTGGTCAGAGGAGCCCACAGTACCTATGTGGAAAAATATTAAGGAAAGGGTGGTAGCTGCTAGGGATGAGAAACCCTTGGGCAGGAAGGACAGCAGGGCAGAAGAGATCTGAGCAGGAGCAGAGAAACGTGAGAGGAGGACAGGTGGAAGGGTAGCAATTGCCAGAGCAGGGATGGAAAGGAGAGAACAAGGAGAAGGTATGACTCAAAAGGAACTGCAGCCAGTGGATGTGCCCACAGCAAATCAGTAGGAAAAGAAGTAGCAGTTCCTTTTGCTGCTCACATCTACCATAGCATGCAGCAAGGAGACCGGAGACCATGAAGCTGGAAAGAGAAGTGTCTGATGGGGAGCCCAGGGAGGTTTCACTAAGTGTTTGTTTGTTTGCTTTTATTTCTGAATATCAGAATCAATAATTAAAATTGTTAATTGACAACAAACCAAATTCAGCAATATTCTATCACTCAGCACTGTGTTCTTGCCCCTAACACTTTCAACTGAAGTGCGGGAAATATTAAGCAAGCTCAGGTTTAGGATCACACCTAAGTTGATTTAAATTGTACTAAAAATATAAAAAAGTAGATTGAAATTATTTCAGTCGTCACTTAAACATGAGAAAATGTTACTGTATTAGCAGTACACTCAGTCAAAATCACAATTTCACTGCAATCACCTTAACTACAAGAGGACTGAAGCAGTATGATTTTGATAGGTCTCCTATGTTCAAGAAAGTAGTACATCCAAGTAGACACTAAACAATCCAACTACACTCACTGTGTAAACACCACTACCCTCTCATCCTGTTCAGGTAATTTCAGCAAATTGATAATTCAGCCATAGAAGTGCAATTATGTTTTAGTAAATACACAAAGAGAACATAAAAATACCAGAACATGAGTATGAGCACAGCAACACTTCAATTTTTTTTTTTTATTTTTAAAAGCCTCGAATTAAAAAACTTTTACCATTAAAGTTGCTATGCTCACATTCTAAATCAGTACCAGAATTTCATCTCTTTTTCAAATGAGAATGTGCACACACAAGTAAAACAAATCTAAAATTTACCTTGATAATATTCTAAACCTTCTAGGACTGTTTATTTTTCCTACTGAGTAAATTTCTAGACAAAGATTTCCAATGTAGTCTAACATTTCCAACATGCCATTTAAGTAGTTTACATGAGAGAAGTGGAACAACCAATCTATTGGGATAAAATATATTTCTTAATTGTTACTAAGTTACGTAAGAAAAGAAATCAAAAATTTCAGATATGTTTTCTTCATTGCTCAAGTTGGTAGTTAAAAATCATGTATTGGTTTTCCTCTTTCAGGAGCCAGGACAATCCTGCAGATGTAACTCAAATACTGGCAGCACATATTTCAGCATCAAATCTCTAGCACGATTTTTAGAGAATTTCTTAAACATCTCTCTCTTCACTCTTACTGACAACATTATGCACATTTTTTACTGCAAGTGTAGTCCAACATAATCAAAATATTTTCTATCATTAAAAATGATCTTGAGGAACATCGGCATTAATGCAATTAAAAACAGGTTATAGTTTTAAGTAACACATATTCACTGTGGAATAAACACAAATAGAACTTACTTTTGGTTGTTTTATTAGGTCAACCAAATCTTTTACTTGATGTCGTAGCAGATTCTGACATTTCCACATTTCATTCAATGCTCTTAAAAAAAAAAGTGAGAGAATAGAAAAATCAAAGAAGATGGAAAAAAGAAGGAGAACATTTTGTAAGTCTCCTATTCATTAAATAGCATAACTGTCTACCCCAAGAGCCTTCACATTTTTCTCAGTGTCAGACTCAGGAAAGTGCTTGTCACCCGAAATTTTATCACTGTGTGAGCAAACTGTAAATGTTTCCTAAAAGAATAACATGGAAAATTTAATTGACCGTATTATACTTGAACAAAGAATGATTTCAAACATTTAGCTGCACTGCCTTTAAAAGTGGGTAATAACTGATATGTGCCTTGTAAAGAACTTATTTGTACAAGACCAAAATCACTCTTCTAAAAATATTCAAAGAAGCATGCTAAAGCAGATATTTAAGATTTTAATCATCAAAACAGTTCCCAGAAAGCACCTCCTAGGTGTCCAAAACTGTGAAAAGCAGGCATGATTAGACTTGTAAGGGACGCATTAGAAAGAGTCTACAAAACTGAGAATTAGCATGCTTCCCAGGAAAAATAAGCCATCTTAAAAAAAAAGAAAAAGAAAGTAAATCAGCATTTTTGATTTAAAAACTTGTAGAATCCAAAAGGAGAAGTCAATCCCGTTTAACTGAATATACTACATCTTCCCAATACATCCTGCAGCATATGAAAACTGTAGAATTCAGAAGCTATTTCTTGTCTGAAATATCAAGTACTGAAAAAATCCCATTCCACATTTAGTTTAGCCCATACCAGAAATTACTACAAGAGTAACTTTTTAATACTCTGTTTTTAATTTCAGTATTACAACATTGTACTATCTTTGACTACATTATACAAAAAATGCAGGGCATCCAAACACCCAGTACTTCAATGCTGTAGTTGCTTTTTAGCCATTCTGTGACAATCTCCCATACGTGAAGAAATACATTTGATTTTCAAGCAGCTGGGTACTACGAAATGAAAAATGAAGTAAAAACCAAGGAAATTCAAACAGCAAACATTAAAGCAGCAAAACTGTCATTAGTCTAATTCACAATTTTAAGTTGGAGAGGGCAAATAATTGTCTTCTCTAAACATAATTGTAAGTAAAATGAATGCTGAAGAAGAGGCAAGCAAGTAATTTCTTCCCACTCTTAAGTCATCTTGGCTGCTAAAATGAGGACTGTATTAATTCCAAAGTTGTCAGATAAGATCTAGTGCTAGTAAATGCCACTAATCTATGCTATCTCTTTCCAGACATAAAAGGACTGACATGCACACAAGCTTCTTGGCAGCTCTTTGGCACTATTTTCTTTTTTTTCTAAATGTCTATGGTTAAAATGTACCACACCTTAAAAACCACCCTATCATTTTTTCAGACTCTCACTTGAGGGAGCATACAGTAAACGTAATGTAGCAATACTAATTTGTATTATCAGTTTGTAAACTGCTTTTGTATACTGATTTAGGCTAGTCATAACAATTTAGAACTAATTTACAATAACAACTGGATTAAAAATTACATTGCATTAAGTAAAAAAAAAATAGCACATACTTCACAGCATTTGAATCCAGTGTTGCGTAAAGGTAATACAAACATTTCATTCGTTCATTTGTTTCCAAGTTGTGAGGGACCATGTACTGAGCAAAGATGCGTTCAACAAGTAATCTGAAAGCAAGAAATTGACCTCAAATTGTTAATAAGTTCATTCAGAAATTCTCTAGAAATAAGTAGTGGCATATTAAGATTCAAAAGCGTCAAGGTGAGGCCACTTAACTTTCAATAAAACTCATCTCTAAACAACAAGATATCTAAGGACATCATAATATTGACATTTGCAGAACATTTATTAGCTGACATTATCAAAATCAGTTATATACATCTAGATAAAAATCAAAGGATGACTCAATTATCAGCCTAAAAGATTTCTTTCATGGTCTGCACTTGAGTTGATGCAATATAAGGGGCTTAAAATAGCAATAAAAATCATGTTGATTATTAGACATTATCACAAAGCCCAGAAGGAGAACTCGGATACTAGTCTTGGCTTTTCCCCTACTTCTTCCCAGCCCTTTCCTGAAGGGAAAAGTTAATCTCATTTCTGTTGCTTCCATAGTGGAATTCCAAGTACATTCACATGGAAATTAATGAAAGTTCCTGCTACAACATGGAACATCGTTATTTAGATACAGAAGGAAACAAACTTTGAGTCTGTCAGTTGCCAAAAAAGACTGTGAGAAGAAAGAAAATTACACCTATGTTGCAATCATATACATTTAGTCTGGAAGTGAGAACAAAATCCTCATCCTTATGTGCAAGCTTACATTACTAGAGTCTTCCAGTGAGATCAAGTGGTCAAAATCCAAGCTCAGCTAGTTTTAAAAGATCTTGAAATTTTCTTCAACTGTGAATGAGGATCTGATGTTCAAGACAATTCCTCCTATCTTCATGGTATCAAAGAAATAATTGCTAATTTTGCAGGTGACATTTCTGGAGAGTACCATTTTTTAGAAATCCTTGTATAGGTTTGCAATCTTATTTGTATTTGATTGTCCTATGAAGACCAAAGATCCATCTCCAAAGACAACAAGATCATGTTGATTAGTCAAGGCAGACTAGCTCCCAAACTAGTTCCCACTGCGGGTCCAGAAGAGGGCCAGAAAGATGATATAAGGGCTGGAGCACCTCTCCTAAAAAGAAAAGCTGGGGGAGCTGGTCTTGCTTAGTTTTCAGAAGAGAAGGCTCTGGGGAGACTTCATTGGGTCCCTCCAGAATTTGAAGGGAACTTATAAGCAAGCAGGGGGACCACATTTTTATGCTCTCAAATACTGACAGGGAAAGGGTCAAAGGCTTTAAACTAAAAGAGGGGAAATTCAGGTTAGATGTTGGGAAGAAGTTCTTTACTCCAAAAGTGATGAGGCACTGTAACAGGTTGCTCAAAGTAGTTGTGGATGCCCCAACCTTGGAGGCATTCAAGGCCAAGTTGGATGGAGGCACTGGCAGCCTGATCTAGTGGTTGGCTACCTTGCCCATGACAGGGGGCTGGAACTAAATGATCTTTAAGGTCCTTTCCATTCTGTGATTTTATGAAAATTTGACTATTATGTAGAAGATTATGTACTTCTTCAAAACATACAGAATGAGCATCTTGCCAACACTTAAGCTCAGAGGAAAAACAAATTGAGAAGTTATCACACCTATCCAAAAAATACCCAGCTTCCAGAAGACTGACTTACCGGTCATCAATACTGTTTTGATAATATATATGCAGAAGTTTATCTTTGATCCATGATATCTGTTTTGCAGCTTCTTTTCCTGCTTCTGACTGTAATGAATATTTCTTATATATCTGTGCAAGTCCCATCATAGCTTCTTTCCTCACTCTCCACTTGAAAAAAAAAAAGAAATAGTGCTACAATTTAGCAGTTTAAAATACAAACCTGAAAAACTGTGGAACTTCCCGGTAGGTGTTTCCTATTCTTCCTCCAAATAAAATAGTTCAATTTTTTCTTTAAAGTTTGAGTAATAAGCACAATATTTTCTCTTTAGGACAAACACTACATCTATTATGCTAAACATATCTACATAGGTAACTACTATACAAGCACACCTCTTGAATTTAGAATTATAAGCAATTCAATCCAACACCCTTTCTCACAAACCTGTATTGAATACTTGAGATTGTATTACATCTGTAGCAGGAAAAAGCATGTCACCAAATGAAAAAAAGTCAAGTGACAATTTTAAGTTTGCCTTTAACAGCCTTGTTTACCCCACTATAATATAAGCAGCAAATCTCCTAAGCTTTGCCAAATAATCAGACAAAGCTAAATTAAATTTCAGGGCTGCTCATATTTGAAAGCTACTATACTCACAGCTTTCCAATGATCTAATTAAAATTAAGCAATCCAGCTATCTCCAATGGCAAAACAACTTGCATCAGTAATCTGCCATACGTTTTGAAATTTACTCTCAAAATCTCTTATGAAATATGTCAATATTATAGAGGGGTCTAATTTTATTTTAAAATTATGAAAACTAGACAACCGGAACAAACAGTAATCAAAATATAGTATATGTTGAAACACAGCTGTCAGAACACTACAGCACAAAGAAAAATGCTGCAGTTCAGTCGGGGCAAAAGGTGCCTCATTAAATACACTGCTTCAAAAAATTTTTGCTTTACATGAGTTTTCATTAGACATTTTAAAAGTAGTTCAACATTTTCAGAAGCATTACTTTTAAGAAACAAATCCAATTACAATAAGATGCCAGAGAACACAAGACACTATTGGTACTAATTATGTCTTACCCGCTTGTCCAGCGTTCGTTCTCTGACAAAATTAAGCAGGTGATCATTGACAAGCAGAAGATCTTTTTTAGCAGCAGTAACTATGGATACGATAACATCATGCCTTATCGCCTCTTCAGGATCGTGGGACCTTACTTTAAGGTATTCTGGGGAAATAAAAATAAAATAAGTACTTCATTTTAAGTACACAGTTTCAGCTACTGTTATTTCTCTGGAGGCTACCCCAACCGACAGAAGTGGAAAACCATGGATTTCTACAGTTTGGAGCACTGACAGTAAGAAACCACTAATTTTGCTTAATCTGCGCTGGAATGTCTGTAATAAACTTCTCATTTGCTTATTATACCTACATTAGCAACTATTATTGTCCAAGAGAATTGGATCTCTAAAGCTGAGTAGACAGTACTAGGAACTTGATACCCACACTATATGCATTTCAAAGCCGTACTTTTTGCTAGAGGCTACTCTCTTCCTGCAGACTCCTATATGCCCTTTGACATACAGAGCACATTACTTGCACTCCTGAATACAATTTGCTTACTTTCCAAACTGAATCTAGTTCACATGTTCTAGAAACACTCCACAGTGTGAATCAAGTAAGCACAGTAAGCTGAGGCAGATAAAAAAAAGCATATTCAAGTAAGCTAGATGTTGACTCAGAAAAATCCTTATTTATTCAACTTAAAGCAATTTTTCTAGATTACTTTGGCACATTGCTTCTTATTTGTAGTACTACTAATCTTTTCCTATAAACATCTGAAGATTTCTTCTGGTAAGTATCAAATGTTTTAGGAACTTTTATCATTTTAGAAAAGCACAAAACAGATGACAAACTTCATTTATCTTTAAATGTATTCTAGATTAACTTAGAAGCACACACTGGTAGGAAAATGCACATAAAAGGCCTTAAGATCACTGTACACAGCACACATCAGTGAAACGCTAAGAGCATTAGGAAACACTGAAAATTCAAAGTTTGCTCTAAATAATCAGAAGTTACTGCATTCATTACTGTTCAATGAATGATCGTTCCCAAGCCTCATCTGAAATACTCACCCTTACTTGGTAATCAGAACAAATGTCAAAAAAAGAAAAATGCATAAGAAATAAAGCTTTGCAATTGAAGTTATGAAATTATAAAAATAAATAGCTTTTTGAAAAAAAATGTTTCACATGAAAACAAACTAAAACAACCGAAGATTGCCATTGCACAGTTATTGTCTACAACACCAGCGAGAGAAAATTTTGAACAATTTGTCTGTGATGAGCACTGTGGGAAGAGAAAGGGGCACGCTATGTTACATTTCTCAGAGGACACCATTAGAGGGGGCACAATGTCTTTCAGCTATTTTACAAAAAAGAAAAACACCTTGAAAATAGATTTCTGAGAATCTTTACCATTCCCATTAAAGAAAAGTCCTAGGTTAACAATACAATAACTATTATGCGACTTCAGCTTGCATGTATTTGTCTAAACTGGCAAATGCTCAGCAGGCAGGAGGGAAATCCCATGCAATTAACAGCCCCTTAAATCTCCTCCTTAAGGGAGATAGTCAAACATACTACCTCTAAAGTGGGAGTTGAGTGATCAAGGGAAGATGCAGTCTTAACAAACTTTAAAAAAAAGCAATCCATTCAATTAATTGCACTTTTATTCATTAAGACATACAGGAGAGACAAATACCAAATGCTTTTATCCATGCCACTTGCCTTCCTCCTACAGAGATCTTGAATTACTTTCTTTGTTTGATATGGAGGAGAAACCAATGGCTGTGGTCACAGTTCCAAGGACTGTTTTGATACCTTAGATAGTGGCTGCATAATATTTACACATTCTTGCTTTGTGGAACTTAAGTCTATACTCTGCACCTTAATAAATGCCATGACTAGTTAGCTGGCAAGGCTGCTTTTGCCTGATCCCACGGTGCTTAATTTCAACAGCAGTTGGGAATGCAACTACTCCAAGACAAGAAGGGTGCACTCCTTTGGATTAAGGCATTCTTTGTGCACCATCTCCTTATCTGAGAGGCAGCACTGGAAGGTAAGGGACTCTGCCAGTAAGAAATCTAACCTCAATTACACCCTCCACAATGTCAGAGAGTGCTACTTAGTGTTACAACTAACCTTCCAGACTTCTCCACAAGACTTATAACGATATTTTAATGTTATAATAAGTCTGGTACCTGTTAAGTCTTTTGCTAGGTCGGGATGGTTCATAAGGCAGTGACTTGCAAATTTCACACATTCAAGACGAATAGGTACATGGATATCATTAAACCTATTTTGAAACAAGACAATACATTACAACAAGAACAGTGACAACAACAACAAAAAAATCATGAAAATGTCACTCATACTCACTTATTTCTACACAATCTCCAATACTCCCTGAAAAGATTTTCACACTTTCCATGCACAGTTACATGCACAGAACAGCTCTAATTTCCTATAATTCATTTGATCATCCTTAAGGAAAGTCTTGTGCCCATGTACTGATTCCTGCTCTAAAGAGGAAGGGAAATATCCTCCCTAATACACATGAAAAACTCACTGGCAGACAACAATTACTTACTGAAAGATGTCTTACATTTTAAATATCATTTCTCTAACCTTCCAGCTACTTAAGCATGAACCGTGAATCAGAACCTGAAAAATGTTGCAAAATGCTGATGTTCTTCTCTTTACAAATCAATGGACATCTAACCTAGTACAAAGGCCTTATAAGAACAATCCATACTTCAACTTCAGTAAAATTGGCTTCTGCAAGACTGAACTAAATTCAATGCTTGAAAACCAGCATTTTGTCATGCTTCAATTTGATACAAGTAATGATATGAACAAAACTATCGACATAATAAGGACTACCTTCTTCCGAAAAATAAAATGCATTTTCAGGGCATCAGAATGTCTGGTTTTAAACAGCTTATCAAATTTTAGAACACTTTTTTGTAGAAATGCTTATTTATCAAACGAAGATGTTTCAAGAAGTGTCTACTTTAGTAAAAATTAGTTATGTTTTCTAGATGAAGCTATTTAAGAATGGCTTCTCTACTAACAGCTATTTTTACTTATTTAAAAGTCCTTGAAAAGTAAATACATCTGTGGTTATAACTAGCTGAAAAAAGTAATTATGAAAAAACATGACTACACTGTTTCATACAGCAACACAATGTATTATTTTGAGTCCAATTTGATTTGTTACTTCTAAATGACATGATGTTATAATTATTACATACTTTCAAGCACAAAGCTTATCCCCCATTAAGTTCCCTATACTCCTAGGAGCAGCACTTCTCTGAGGACATTCTGTGTTTGATACCATTGAATGCTAAATTACTACAGCATTTATAATAATTATCAGAATTAACAGAATTTATCCTTATTTACTCAAAAACATTTTCATCACAGCAGATACTCTTGACTTCGTTCTGACTACAAGTTCCAGCTTTATTTCCTATATCAAACTGGCAGAATATTTCAAAAACAGAAGATTGCTTTCTGCATTGTAAATACTACATACTTCTTTTGAAGTATTTGAATTATACAAAGAATTAAAGCCAGAAAACAAATGCTGTACATGAAAGTCTCATCAAAAATAGATCTGGTAACATCCAATACTGCAAATGTCACTTGATATTGTTTTAAAATTAATCCATCGAGTGTCACTTGTAAAGAAATGCAAATAAAGACAATTGTTTCTTTTTACTGGAAATAGCAGTATAGATAATGGCAAAAAAAAATTAAAAAGGATCACCACTTGTAATTGTCCACTCTGCAGAATCAAAAATGCAGAAGATGTATATAAAATAATCTCCTAAACATTATTTGCCAGATGTCAGACACAGCAGAGGGGTGCACAGTTAACTGTATCATTTGAGAGGAGAATAAAAAAAGGCAGGGAGAGGGGGAGGAGAGGAAGCTGTTTAAAAATATTGAATTACAATTCACTGAATGTTTTCTGCCTCCTCTGAGTGGAATTAATATAGCATACCTCCCCAAGTAGCACTGCCAGAGGGGTTTGTTCTGAGATGCCAATTCTGAATCCTTTGCCCCAAACATTTTTGCTAGAAGTTTTACAACCTGCAGGCGTTCTTCATTGTCATTGCTCTGGAAAAAGAACACATTTGTTAAAAAAAAAGTCAACCAACCAACACCACAAACTTGCCAAAAAGCACGAAGTACTGTTTTGTACAGTTTTTATACCATTATGCACCTCCCCCACTATTCCTCCCAATAAGAAAGAAATCACTATAAAAAAAATTCATGCAAATGTGTATCTTGAGAAGAAAAAACACCAATGAATGCTGGAAAAAACAATGAAGGCAGCAAAAACATAAGTAGAGGAAAAAAACATCCTGAAAAAGATCTGGTGAAAAACACAGACATACATCTTTTCAACCCCCCATTACAGGTGTTGCTGCTACAAAGTCTGATACAGTGCCTATACAAACATATACTAAATCAATCACAGCACAAAAGCCACAAACACCCTTCTACTTCTCTACAAGTTATCTAGGACATTCTCCTTATCTGGAACTGTTCTCCTGAACAGTTTTATTATGAACAAAAGTTTTCAGAGCACAGGTTTCTAGAGCATATCAAAGTATCCAAGATCTTTCACACACAGTAACTGGACCTATATTTAAAGATGCTAAGTTAAAACAGATGCTTTTCTTCTTTAAAAATTAACATTAGCAAAAATAAAGCAAGACCTTCTTTGGTACATTTCCAGTGGTGCTGGTTTGCACCACATTTATTTAATGCAATACACAGCATATGAAGCTTAATCATACTTTGCAAATCTTACTTTGCAGAGGTTATATATATATATAACCTCTTATAATTTCAATCTTCTTTATTCCAACAGAAAAGGACCTTTTCACATACTATTCTTTTCTATCATCTTTTAAATTTTTATTAGTTCAACATCACAATTTGAACACAAAATAAGAGCCCAGTGTAGTTATCGAAGTTCTGTAACACACCAGTCTTAAAACCAGCTATTCTTCCTATCAGATTCAGTACCATAAATGAGCTGAAAAGTTCTCCAGCACGTCCTTTAATTCAGCTCCCTAAGAATAGTAAAAGGGTATTTAAAATCCTTTAATACCAGAGGAAGATAAGGATGAAGAAATCTGACACTGTTGTATTACTACATGACATGAAACTGTAATGCTTTTGAACACACCTTAGTATTTAATATTAGCACATTTTATCTGCATTTGACTAATATATCCAATTTGAATTCAGATTGACTATTTACCAAGTCACATACAACCTCCTCTTGGAGTGCAGTCAGTAGCACTTTTTTCCTCTCTAGTTTGAGTTCATAAGCATGTTACATAATCAATTCTTATTCTCAATTCCCAAATTCTTATTTGTTATTAAATGAACCCACTGTTGTTACAGTCTCTCTTGTACATTCTACTTCAATCTCTACTTCTTCTTCTGAGGAAAAAGTCAGTAAAACAAGTTCTTGAAAAACCATAATCCTTCTCCCCTATGATGCATTGTGTCACAGGACTTTGGTCATTTTTTCTTAAGTGCAGCCCAGTACTCTAATCTTGACAGTGTTCCCTAAAGGTTCTCCAATAGGAACTGACACTGAACACACAATTCCAATTTCTTACACCTTGCTCTCCATCCACAGTTCTTCTGTCTACATCCTATCCTATCCTTCAAAAGAACAGGCACTTCTGCTGATTTGGAGCAATTTAGGAGAAGTGCACATGACCTGAAACTTATCAAAAATTTAACTCTGTCTAGAAAGAAAGACACTTCTGAAGTAATAAAAGTCAACATTTTACAAATTTTATTTATTACATAACATTAATTTGATAGAATAGAAAAATGAACACCTACAGTCCATTATGGTTATTCCCTAAATACTCCGTTCATGAGCTTTTCATTCTCCTGAATATTGAATGAATATTCAATTTCAGTAATAAAGATTTCAAATACCAAATTCAAATATCAAATTTGAATGAAATCATATAGTTACACTTTTAGTTGACCTACACAATAACAGAGTCTAATCTCTGTTCTATCCTGCAACAATAATTCTTCTGTATCTCTAAACACACCACTTTTTAATGCCAAAATCAGACATTAATTACTGATCCTCATTAAAGACAGAGGTAAGTTAGATGAATTTCAATGAGTGTCTTCCTGTTGGTACCTCAGTTCCCTCTTCAAAATAAGGTTAAAGAGATAAAATTAATCACAAGCAAGAGGCAACCATGATTTTTGACACCACGCTCCAAGTGTTAGAAGTTAGCAATACCCATTTCCTGTTCAAACAAGAAAGCCGTGGGAAACCTTCGCTAGCAACAGCCTGACAAAGGGGATCCTACAACCTTTCCTCGTCAGCCAGAGCGTAGTAACTTGACGGGGACAGAATGGATACAAGTTCACTCAGGGCTCCTTCTCATTTAATTTGGCTTCCCAGATGCCCTTACACAGCAGATATGAGACTTAGGAACTGGAAGAAGAAGGTCGTGATGAGGTGGATGATCCATCCATGCTGGAGGAGCCACCAAGGTCAGGCCAGCCCATCCTCCACACCATGATCACCTCAATGAAGAAAAACATTGGGCCAACAGCCGAGCTCTCACCCAAACTTTCACCTTCCCTCATGCTACACAGAGACGGAAAGGGGAGAAAATAGAAGCTGAAAAGACTTGGAATTAAGATGGTGATAGTTTATTAAGCAGAGAAGATGTGTGCACAAGTACCAACACATGCCATTCAATGATTCAATGAAAGGAGAGTAATTCGTGCGCTGCTTCCCATAGGCAGACAGATATCCCACCTACTCCTGGAAAGTAGAGTCTCAGCATGCATAATGTTGGGTTTTTTTAGAAGAGATATATTACAATCACAATGGTTCTCCCTTCCTTCTCCTTTCCCTGAGCTTTCATTGCTGAGCATATCCCCTTCCCAACCTCTTGCCTCACTGCAGCCTCCTAGCTGGGAGAAGAAAAAGCCCATACCTGTGTGAGCACTGTTCAGCAAAAGCCAATGCATTAGAGTATTAGCAACAATATTTAATCCACAAAGTCCAGCACCATTAAAGCTATTGCAAAGAATATTAACTCCATCCCAGTCAGATACAAATGGGTAAATAGTTTGTCTGCTTTTATTTTGTACATGACATGCATTTCAATTCTCTTCAAGAGTACTTGAAAGATTCTTGGGATAGATAAGACAAAAAGCAACTGAGGGAACGAAGCACACAGCTGCACGTTTCAAAGACCATTTACTGCCAGGCAACCTTTCACTCTTTATTTAAGCCAACATGTATAGATCTCACAGCAATGAAGACTTACCCTTTACTGACCAAAACACCAGTAATAGTACCAAAGGTGGAAGGTGATTGAACACTAGGTGGCCACATTGTTTAGATCCAAAAATAGTAAATATGCATAGTTACTGGAGGACCTACGCTCTCTCCCAAGTTCCAAAAATTGATCTGTCATCAACAGGAAAGCCACTGAATTTTTCCACACTGAAAAGAAACAGCCTAGAACTTCTGTCAGACCCCAGACTCACAAAGAAGCCACGAGGATTCCTGCCACAAAGACTGACAAGGACACTGAGGGAGATGGAGTGCAAAACACCTGGAACCTGTCAGGTAACAAGTCACAGACATGTTATTCACTTCCTCAAGACTCTATCAGTTGTAGAGACCGAGAACAAGGCAGTCCAATCAAGGGGCAGTGGACATTGATCTGTGAAGCTCACTTTGTCGTTGTGATTAAACCACCACCATTTCCAAAATACACCACAAAACTGTTAGAAGCAAAGAAATCAGACACAACAGAGAAATTCAGGTTCATGTGCAGAATATACAACTAGAGGAAAAGTTGCTGACAGCTGGAAGAATCAGACTAGAAAAACAGGATCTCTATCTCAGAGAAGTGCCCAACACTAGTACTGTGAGGGTATCCAACTGCCAATAGGAAATATGCAATCAAGCCCTTAAAGAGCTAGTCAAGAGTACCTAAACCTTTCACAGTCCTCAAAGAACTGGGGAAAGTCCTTAAAATTGGAACAGTCGAGATCAACAGCATGTTGTTTTCCTCCTTCATTCTAACTGGAATTTATGGAAGGGAAAATAGCAGCCTTTGCCATCACAAAACCGCTGCACATTCAAAGAACTTCACAGATCTCAGTCTGTCCCTCACACTCCTTTCATGGAACAAGATTATTCAGTAACCACAAGCCTCCTGAACTCAATCAACAGTCTCCCTGATGCATCTCAAGCAGAAAGGAGGCAAAGAATGGACAAAGTAGTGCATATTACTTTTTAAGCCCTCAATACCAAGCAGCAAAATAAGCACGTCATTAGAACAAAGACACACCCTTTCTAAAATTTAAGTTCTGAACAGCATTACCATTCTTCCAAGGACTTGTCTTCTCTTCAAATCACAATACCAGCTAAACAAGAATAAAACCAAGACAATTGGTAATTTCCAACTTTGTTGTCAAATGATATCCCAAAAGTTTGAAGATTATTTTTCCCTAAGTTGCCAGTAATCAAGTACTACAGAATCTGTCTAAGCTAAGCCCACGTAACATCATTCTTTCCTTATACAGATGACCAATTACTATTCCCAATTCATTTTAAAGGCCTATGCCCTATTCAGCTGACCTTCATTGCTCTCCAGGCTTCATGGGACAAAGCCAGCACATTTAAAGCATCTCTACAAATCCAGTTCTTTATCACTCTTTGCAGGTAAAAAGAATTTTTAGACAAGTCAAAATAACTTACAAAGATCTTTGTAAAAGACAGAAACTGCAAAGACAAACAAAAATACTTCAGTTTTCAAATAATGTTTCACTGAAATGATCCAAAATACTGGCTGTGGTTTAAATTCATGCATAGCACATCAAGGTTGTATCTGAAAATATTTTCTAAAGGATCTCACTGACTGGAACACTTGGCAGTGGCTCAGAGGAAGCCTACAATAGGTCTACTCCATGTGGCCAAAATTTTTTCTAGCTCACCACTTTAGAAGTCAATTATAAAGCAAATGCACACTTTCTAAACAGAGAGCAATTGCCCAATTTTTCTTTGAAAGGAACCTCTCACATTCCCCATTTCATTTGTTCAACACCTGAAAATGAGACCATCCTGACTTCTCCACTCCTCAAAATTTACACTGCAAGTGTTGAGACAATCACAGCTTCCTTTCAATGTCTTCCACTTCAGGAATAATACAAATCTCTAGCATCAGAGATGCAACATGACATCTTGGAAAACAGTAACTGTCACATTACATCATCAACATTTGAGAATCACCCCTAGTATTTAACTTCTATTATCACATCTGTATATCTAAAAGTAGTAGCAGACAGCCTCAGTGAACAAAAATTAGATGTTTCTGCAAAACTATGCACGACCTAAATATGCTCCACTCCTGCTTCTATTTAAATACCTAGTAGAGTCCCCGGCATGCAAGCTTGTATGGCTGAGCTCCTAAACAACAAACTATGCACAAAATTCAGAAAAGTCAAAACCATCTAGACAAGCTCATAAAAACATGCAAAGCTCACTGAAGTTGCACTACTAAATTTAATTGGCCTTTATCCAAAAAGCACAACTCCCTTCTCCTATATTTCATTAGGGGCTGCCAAGCATATTTCTCTCCTTTACCACCCATTTGATCCAAGGCTTCATTAAGCTAACAGAGATACTGCTGTCCAATTTCTTTCCATTCAAATCAGCACAACATTTGCTGCCTTCCACCATAAGGCTCTCGAGTTTCTACTGAAATCATACTCTTCTCAATGTACTAATACACACTTTATTTGGACCTGAATCCAAATTGCTTGACACTAGCTGCCACTGTTTAGTATAAAGCCACAGCTGTTGTTAGAGCACAAAGTACTTACATTGTCACTTGCAAGACTGCAGAAAGAAAGAACTTGTGCTAATCTCAGACAAGCTGACTGTAGTTCATTAATAGGTCAGAACATTCATCTCCAAAGTACTCTTAACCACAGGAAGGCCTCTTAACTCACTTAAAACAGGATTATACTACTCCATATAAAAATTTTATGAGTTTGAATTTTTATTTATTTTTACTATAAAAGATGGACCAAATTAGATTTGACAGCCAATAGGACAAGCCAAACATATAACTTCATCCTTGTCATCTGAAGAGACTCAGTGCAACAAAACCACTCACACAGTAGCACTACCATGCTGGAGAGAATCACCAAGGGCTCCGGAGATTAACAAGAGATCAAGGAATAAGAACAGCAGCGATGTAGCTATTAAAATTTACATCTATTGGAAACATTTCAGCACTTGTAACATCAGGTGCTAAAAAAGTGCCAACCTCCTTACTGTAAAGGAAAGGCTAGACTAAGACTGAGGAGAGAAGAAGCAACAAAATAGATGTTTATGACCTAAGAAGAATATCCTAAACAAAGAGCAGGAATGCAGACATGAAGAAAGGTGCTTATAACAAAGGGAGATGAAGAAACCAAGGAAAGGCTGAGAACCAAAATCATCCAGCTGATTTTGGAAGAAACAAACAGAGAAAGCTCCTGAAGGAATTAAAAAAAAGTTTGGCTACTAAACTTACTTATGCAAATGGTAAAATGGGGTATAAACAAGCAGCAAGAATTGAAATAAAGGAATATGCGAGTCAATGTAAAGCGTGGCACATTAGGAGCACGAAGATGACTCAAGAAGCTACAGTTTTAAATGAACCTAAAATGGAAAGATGACTGCAATTACAGATATGAAAAGCACACACACACACAAAAAGCAAAATAGCAGCACTTAAGATGAAATCTTATGAATAACAGCTTCAGTTGCACAAACTGTGTTTTTGTTGGAACTAGAACAATAATTGTTCTCCATCTCTAGGAACAGGCATTAAAAACTGAAAAAGATCTGCTTTAAAGACAGATGGCAAGAAATAAACTCAGGCCTTTTTTTTTTTTTTTTTTTTTTCCAGAAATATGAATTAAACAGGAAAAATATAACCATTAAAAATAAATCATACCACAACGTAGTGTGCCTGACAAGGAAAGATTAGTGAAAAATAACAAATGTGATCAAGTTGTCATCTAATAAATGAACTGGCTACAGGATCTACAAATCTAGACCTCATTTTTAATAATTAGAATACATCCAAACTTAAAGTTGCCCACCACACAGCAGCGTCCAAGTTTAGTAAGGAATTAGTTCCAAAGTTTGTAACACTAAGCCTAATCAAATTCCTCATGCTATTCCACAGAAACCTTGTGGAACAATCACAGAATCACAGAATCACAGATAAAATGAATAAAAAATAAAATTTTATTCAATAAAATGAATAAAAAAAGAAAAGAACAAAGGGAGCATCAGCTGCTATAATGACTTTCTCCAAGATGCACTGAAATGGTACATAGTCAAGAAAAAAACATGAAACCAAACAAACACAGACACAGTGCAAACAAGTTTTTTTTTCAGATAGAAGAAATGTGCTTGACTACATCAGAGGTTCATTTACTGTAGCAATGACCGTTAAGACTTATTTCTGTTTCCACCTATGAAAGACTTCCTATTTGATGGAAATTGTCACTGCATCAGTTCCCATTAGCATGGGGTCCAACCTATCCCTGACAGACTTTGCTGTTCAGAATAGATGTAGATTCCCTGCACAGCTAGTAGTGCAAAATGCTTTCATCATATTGAAGCCCTTCACAATAAACATTATAGTAATGAAGGAACACAACAGACCAGATTCTCAACTAATTCACAAAGAACTATTTTAACATGAAGCTGTCACTTGAATGATACAAACATGCACACCTGCATTTTACATTGATACACTGAAGTTAAACTACTCTCAAGTGCTTTTGTGAGTTTTAAGCAATGCAGAGATGTGTTTTACATCTAAAAACAGGCAAAAAAAAAAAAAAAGAGATTACCATGTCAGTACAAAAGTTGTAATAATAGTGAAAAGCACACACATGTTTCAAAAAGACTGGAAGTATGAGAAATGCTTACCTTAAGTTTGAATTCAAGCTGGGGTAGAACAGAAAGCAAGAGATGACTGTCAATATTGTATAACTCCAGAATCAAGTCAAACACATGCTCTGACAGGTCACTAATTGATGTTTTCCCAAGCATCAGAACTTGATTGAAGAACTAGGAAGTAAAACAGAGTGTACATCAATAACAACAGTGTGTATATATATGTGTACGTGTATATACACACACACTTTTCTAAATCTCAAGCCTGTCCACTGCTAAATCTATGCTGCAGTTTTACAGTTTAAAAGGGGGGGTGGGTAGGATGATGCAGCAGAGAACAGATCAAGACTTTACAGCACAACATCATAGTAAATATACAATCTTGGTTTATGTTCAAAATTACACATAAAGGAAAAAGCACAAGCAATAACATTTGCTTTATTACAGTAAGGCTACGAATAATTTTAGAAAGCTTGCAGCTGAACATCAGAAAAACATTCCTATGCAATCTCCTCTGAAACAGTAAGTTTGACAAGTGGGTTTGGAGTGAGAGCTTTCACTGAAGACACTTTTTAAATCTTAGAACATACTCAATTCCCAAGTACCACAGGTGTTAAAAGAAAGCAACAAAAAGCATTCAAGATTTTTCACTGTTTTCAAGCTCCTGAGGTTTTGGATAGCTTCCATGAGAAGCTACTAGATCTTTAACGACTTTAAAAAAAGCATTATTTCTTTTCCCATTGTGCTACTTAATTCAAAGAATATTTATGTATGACCTTTTCTTCCTGTCTTCACTCTCCATGCACAATGCCTACTGACGTTCTTTGTTGTTGTTTTTCTTTGTTGTTTTCTTTTTACTATATTCAACTTGGCTATACTCTTCAACCCACTAACCACTTGTCCTCACTACCTATTCTTAGATTCTGCTTCCTCCTCTTTTCCTTAGAGGGAGACACTGAAGTTCCGCTGTCTTAACTTCTCATAGCTTCTAAATAGTCTTATCTCCTCTCCAAAACAAAACCACCACCACCAAAACAAACAAGCAAACAAAACAAACAAACAAAAAATCCATGCTTTGCTGCATGAACAATAAAAACATATAAATACATTTGCTGGTGAAGAGTTCCAGAACACAAGTTCCAGGGAACTTGAGGGAATGGATTGTTCAGTCCAGAGAAGAGGAGGCCCAAGGGATACTTAATCACTCCACAACTCCCAAAAAGGAGGTTGTAGTGAGCCTTGGGGTTGGTCTCTTCTCCCAGGTAACAGCAATAGGAGAAGTAATAGCCTTTAATGGGCTCAGGTTGGATATTAGGAAAACCTTCTTCTCAGAAAAATGGCACTGCATTGTAACAGGCTGCCAAGGGAGGTGATTGTTCCTGGAGGTATTCAAGAAACAAGGCATGTTGGGGATGGGCGGATGGTTGGACCAGAGGATCTCAGTCTTGTCAAAACGTAACAATTCTATAACTCTACTGAGTCTTCTGATCAGATTAAGGATTAAAAGCAAGGTTCCTCAAGACAGTAGAAAGTGAACTATTCACTCCATTTCAAAAAACAAAATTGTTAAGAACTTACCAGTTTCTATATGGTAAAGAAATAGAGTCAAAGGGAGAGTGTTTTAATAATATAACAATTATCTCAAAGAACAATTATGAGCTTCCAAAGTTATACAGTTTTTCACCCAGAAAGTGGTGACACACTGGAACAGGTTGCCCAA